TTTATGTTTAATGACGCACTAAACATTTATCGCTTAGTAACAAAACTTTCTACCAATTGGAACAGAATTAATTTATTAAAATTATACGATTTATTACTTAGTCATCAAGGAATGTGAAGCTCTTTTTACCATAAATCAATAATTAATGATGTTTTTTTTTTGTTAATCTGCTGATATCCGCCCTAGTCTCCATACTTTAATTTCTTTGGCCAACACCATGCCTCTTGACATTACCATTTCTGGTACTATTTTGTCATGATCTTTCTGCAAAGAGAGAAACTGACACAAATGTTAGTGCAAGAAGGTCAAAATATAGAGATAGAGTATTGGCAAAAGTTTCTGCAGGAAGACTAGGACAACAAACATGATATAGAAATTTTGGTAAAAAGATCAAATTATTAGGAAAAGCATTTATGGGAAGAGAAGAACAGTTGGCGCTAGCAATTATCATTACCAGAATAACACCAACACTGACAGATTGGTTTGTATAAAAAGATTATAATACTGACACCGATAATGAGACTAGGTAGAAATGTTTGCAGAAAGAGGAACTAATAAAAAACTCTGAAATTTCTGTAGAAAAATAGGAACATTAACAAAGAACAATGCAAGAAACATTTCTGCAAAACAATTGAACTAACAAAAAGCTTTGAAATTTCTGTAGAAAAATAGGAACAATCAAAGTTCCAAAGTTTATATAAAAAGACCATGTTACTAATTAAGTGATAGAAAAGGTTGGCAAAAGTGTTTTAATTTTTCTGTAAGGCAAAAAGAACACTAAGCGACATATTTTTGTAAAATGACATAACACTGATAACGAATCCAAGCAAAAATGTTTGCAGACAGAAAAAAGCAGTTGGAACTAAGAAAAAACTTTGAAATTGCAGTAGAAAAATAGGAGCAATCATAAAGATGTTTTTGCAAGAAGTTAAAAACAATGCCATTAGCAAAGAATATTGCAAGAAACATTTCTGCAAAAGAAACACTCACACTGACAATGAAATTTATACAAGAAGATCATGTTACTGATTAACTGATAGAAAACGTTAGCAAAAGTATTTGTCAAAAGAACAGAATAAATGATATGGCTAAAGAACTCACAGACAAGAATTTTTTTGTAAGGCAAAAAGAACACTAATTGTAAGCAAAATATTTTTGTAAAATGACATAAATATAACACTGACAACGTATTCAGGCGGAAATGGTTGCAGAAAGAAAAAAACAGTTAGCACCAGCAAAAAACTTTAAAAAATTTCTGTAGAAAATAGGAAAAATAAGAAGTTTTGACAGAAAAAACCCAAAAACGCCATTAACAAAAAACGCTGCAAAAATATTTCTGCAAAAAGACTACAACACCCACACCGACAATGAAGTTTATACAAAAAGATTATGTTACTCATTAATTGATAAAAAAACGTTGGCAAAAGTGTTTGTTTAAAGAGCAGAATAAACGCAGTGAGAGATAAAGAACTCTCAGACAGGAATTTTTCTTTAAGGCAGAAAGAACACTCTTTATTTGTATTACACTTGAATTTAACAATAGAAACCGGTAGAGCCGGCAATAAAAAAAAACCATCCATCTATAAATACACAGTTTTATTTCAATTATATTAAAATTGAGATGGAAAGAAATAACCAAATAAATATTAAAAAGAATACTGTCATATTTTGTAAAATGACATAAATATTAACACTGATAACGAATTCAGGCGGAAATGTTTGCAGAAAGAAAAAAACAGTTGGAACTAACAAAAAACTCCGAAGTTTCTGTAGAAAATTCGAAGAATAAGATGTTTTGGCAGACAGTTAAAAACCAAAAATGCCATTAGCAAAGAACATTGCAAAAATATTTGTGCAAAAGGACTGGAACACCCACACCGACAATGACGTTTATACATTAGGATTATGTTACTGATTAATTGATGGAAAACGTTGGCAAAGTTGTTTATCTAAAGAGTAGAATAAATTAAGTGAGAGATAAAGAACTCTCAAACAGGAATTTTTCTTTAAGGCAAAAAGAACACTGCCATATTTTTGTAAAATGACATAAATATTAACACTGATAACGAATTCAGGCGGAAATGTTTGCAGAAAGAAAAAAACTGTTGGAAGTAATAAAAAAACTCTGAACTTTCTGTAGAAAATAGACACAATCACAATGATATTTTTGCAAGAAATTAAAAAAGGTTGGCAAAAGTGTTTGTCGAAAGAGCAGAATAAATGATGAATGATGAAGCTAAAAGAACACTAATTGATAAATTTTTATAAAATGACATAAATACTTACCCTGATAATGAATCCAGACAGAAAAAAACTATTGAAACTAACAAAAACTGAAATTTCTGTAGAGTAATATCAACATTAACAAAGAAATTTTTGCAAAAAGTTAAAAACAATGTCATTGGCAAAGAATATTGCAAGAAACATTTTTGCAAAAGGAATAGAACACCCACTTCACTGACAATGAAGTTTATATAAAAAGACCATGTTACTGATTAAGTGATAGGAAAGGTTGACAAAAGTGTTTGTCGAAAAAGCAGAATAAATGATATGGATAAAGAACTCTCAGACAGGAAAATTTCTGTAAACACTGACTGAGCTATTTTTGAAAAAATGACATAAACGCTGACACTGGAAAAAAGTTTCTATTGAAAGAAAAGAACATCAACACCGTTCAATTATACTGAAAAAAGCTTTTGCAAAAAGTTAAAAACAATGCTACTAACACTGAACATTGCAAGAAACATTTTACAAAAGGACTAGAACACTCACATTGAAAATGAAGATTATATAAAAAGCCATGTTACTGATTAAGTGATAGAAAGGTTGACAAAAGTGTTTGTTGAAAGAGCAGAATAAATGATATGAATAAAGATCAGACGGGAAAATTTCTGAAGGCGAAAAGAACACTGACTAAGATATTGTTGCAAAATGAGATAGTGTCAGTTTATGTCATTTGGAAAAAAGTTTTTGCAAAAAGCGAAGAACATCACCAAATTATACTGAAAAAAAACTTTCACAAAAAGTTAAAAACAATGCTACTAATACTTGAAGAAAACCATTTTTGCAAAAAGCCTAGAACACCCACACTGACAATGAAATATATAAAAAGACCATGTTACTGATGAAGTGATAAAAAACGTTAACAAAAGTGTTTGTCTAAGGATATGGACAAAAAACTTTCAGACAGAAACATTTTTGTAAGTCAAAAATATACAGTGTGTCCCAGGATACATGTTACAAGAGGTATAATGACTTAAAAATTTTTGAATTTTATTTTAAGACTATGCAATTAAGCCCTGCTTGGTGTGAAGAGAATTTTAAGAATATTTTCATATTTTGACAACAAAGGCGGACTTGACACTGAATCGAAAACTATGTTTCGTTTAGGTAAAGTAATCTTTTTGTTCATGATTCAGAAAAATTTTATTAAGAAAAGTTGTTCAAAATGAGAAATTATAGTCCTATACAAATGACATAAACACTGACAAAAAGTTTCTGCAGAAAGAGAAGAACGTCTACACTGGTAAATTCTACTGAAAGAAGTGTTGGCAAGAAGAAAAGAACAATTAGTACTAATAAAGAACGGAGACAAAAAGTTTCTACAGAAAGATTAAACCACCTATACAGAAGTTTTTGCAAAAAATTGAAAACTCATTAGCAGAGAATATTGCAAGGAAAATTTCTTGCTAAAATACCACGTTACAACATGAAAAACATTGCTAACTATGTGTTTAAAGTCATCCAATACAGATTCGCGGAAAAAGTTTATCTCTTTTTCCGTGTCGAATCTATTGGTGAGTACATGTGAGAAACGAGTTATGAACGGCGCGGCGCGACCGATTGCCTGAGTCTGATTTACAATCTGATTGGACGACTTTAAAGAGTTCCCCTGCGGTTATCATAAACATTTCGAAAAAAATTCATTACAAAAATCGCTTCAGAATAATGTATCCTTCAACCATTATAATGCTCTGACACCTGTATTAATATTCCAATTTTTGGAATACATTCAAAGTAATAAGTATCGCTGATCTAAGGAATATCTAGGAATATGATGTAATGAATTAAATAACAATCAAACAACACAATCATATTATCCAACAATAGTAAATATTTTAAAATTTACCACACAAACAAGAAAACTTACAGGGTAATTGTGCAGACTGCGCAACATTTTTAATACGTATTAAACATACTGAATATGCAAAAATTAAGTTTAAATATGTTGACATAAAAACAAATATTGCAATTACAGTGTTTAATGTAAAATATATGTATGTTACAGTTTCATGTAAATGTAAAAAATGTTCGTGTAGAATCTTACCATTATTTGATGATTCTGAAACCATAAATTTGACATTTTGTTACTGTTATCTCCTCCTTGTAATTTTCTGGACGTAGTTAATGATTGTATTCCTCTTTCGCTTTGTCAGTAGTAACTTTAACATCAATACCTTCACTTAAGTTCAAATTTTATTGAAAATTGTTTCCTATCTAGATTAATTTGAGGTTTTTTTAAAAAAATGCTCACCATTAAAGCAAACAAATAATCTTTATTCAACAATATTTTTAACTTTTTAATAACAGTATAAACGAGAATGTACTCCTTTTATAAGTGGCAACTAAGAAATATCCGTGAGGTAAACTCTAAATTTAAAAAAATAATATGACCCCCTCTACGATTGGAGAACGCTTCAAACATCATATAAAAATATCAAAAATACACTAAAAAAATGATTACCGGGATAATCACCGATAGATAAGAATTAAGATTACCTCAGGAGAAACACAAAATTTTTAGTAATTTATAAAAAAGTAACGAAAAATGAAAATGTATTAATATTTAAGCATAACCTACTTTTTATCTTCATCAGTGGATTCCGTACCGGAATGGATTGTTTTATCACTTGTAACCACTTCAATGACATCTTTTAGCATCTCTTCGACCGTTTCTTTAGTTGATTCTTGTTTCATTTTTTTGTCCGTTTCTTGATCATCTATTATTTTTTCTTTAACTATTTGAGTTATCTCAATTTTACTCGTTTCTTTATCACTTAAAGATTTTTCTTGATCTTTATTCATCGATGAATTTTCTATTGAATCTTTTGAAGTATCACTACTGTCATTTTCATTCAAATCAACTTGATTATTTTCCTGTTCTAATTTCACTTCAATAATTTCATTCAAATCAACTCGATTATTTTCCTGTTCTAATTTCACTTCAATAATTTCATTCAAATCAACTCGATTATTTTCCTGTTCTAATTTCACTTCGATAATTTCATTCAAATTAACTTGATTATTTTCCTGTTCTAATTTGATTTTAATAATTTCATCGACTTTATTATTTTCCACATTTAAATCGTCGTCGCAATTTTCTTCAGACGCGACGGATTTTTTTGGACTATTTTGATTCGAATTTAATGGAGTACTACATTTTACAGATCCCAAAGAAATCCTAACATCTTCATCATTTAAATAAAGTCTAGCTAAACCATCCGCGACTTCTTCAAGTTGAAAAACGGTGGTTGTTAAAAATTCGCGGAATTTTGATTCGGAATTATCCGCCCATTTAGTTCTTGGTAAAACTTCAAGTTTGTATTGTTTTGCTAAAGCTTCTTGGGTTGTTTCATTATCTTCCGGTAGTTTTTTTAAGTTGTTTGTGACGATTTCGATGCCGGAATCAATTAATAACACTTTAAATTCGTCATTGACTTTATTTAAAATTTTGGCTCGTTTTAAATTATTTTCGTAAGTAGTTACAATTATTTCGTTTTCTTCTGGTGTTTCTAAATCGGTTAATTGGGTGTTGTTTAAATTTGTTTCTATTTGTTTTAATTTTGGATCGTTTTCTATGAATTGGACCCAAAAATCATCTAATGAATTAAAACAAGAAATGCGACAGTCTTTTAGTTCTGGTAACAAAAGATAACTAACATCTTCGTTTTCCACCATTAATTGAATTATGGATGTTTCGCCAGTTGTTAAAATATTTACGTTATATACTGTAGCGCCGTCTGCTGAAATTTCGTTGAATTTTTCGGTTGCTTGTGTTGACCATTGAAGAATTCCTGCGGGTTTTGATAAACTACATTTTAAAGCTAACGGGGATAACATCACCAATTCTTCCGGGAGTTCGCGTAATTCAGTACAAGAATACGAATTTCCATAATCGATAAAATTAACTTCAATTCCCGCCACGGTGTTTGATAAAATTCTAGCTCTATACCAAGATTTATCTTCTGGAAACATCGCAGCGCATAAAGACCCAGGTGTTAAATCTTGCAAAATTGGGAAAGTTGAAGCGTTCATTAATTGGTCGGCGACCCATTCTAAATCAGGAACAGAACTATCAAGTTGCATCCAAAATTCGCTTGGTGAATTTAAATGGCTTATATATCCAGTTGTACTTGTTTCAGTTTCTAATTCTAAATTACTAGCTAAATTTTCTTTTCTAAGATATTCAGCTACATTTTCGTGATTCGCATATAATTCAACATAAGTAGTTTTCTCATCTTGATGAATAATTTCAGCACGCAAACTTTTTTCGCCCAAAAAGTTATCGAATTTCTCAATTACGCTAGAACTCCATTCCTCTCCAATCGGTTTTATGTAAAGCGAGCATAATTTTGCGTGATATTCCATTGATAACATCTCCGCAGGTAACGTTTTTATCGCTGTTGCTTTGTTATCAATAACATCTGTATTTCCAAAATCAACAAATCTTACCGTTGTTATATCATCGTCTGCATCTAAGATTTGAGCGCGATACCATTGGCCATCAAGCGAAAATGGAGCTGCGCATAAAATTCCAGGAGCAGGGTTATCTAAGTTAACTAAATTAGGAACTTGAGTTTGTAATTCTACTTGAAGAGCTGATATTGAGTCCAAATCGTTGGAAAGTTGTAAATAAAATTCTGATGGGGAATCCGAATGACTTAATGTTACATCAACACCAACAAATTGATTCTCATTTATTTCGGCGTTTTGGATTACTTCTTGAGTGATGGGTATCTCATCTTTAGTAACAACATCTTGAGTAACAATTTCTTCAATAGCCGGTTTTTCTTCATTTTTAACTTCTTCGTTATTTATTTCTTTGATTTCATCCTCACCAAAAATCTTTCCAACCCAACATTCATTCTCAAAGTAAATCTCTTCAACAAAAACTTCAAAATCTATATATTTTTCACATTCTCCGCCTTCAATTTTTATCTCAACCGCCAACATAGGCATTTGATAAAAATCAGGAGTTAAATTTCTCATTTCCGTTACTTTAACGGTTTCCGAATTTCCATAATCTAAATAATTTACTTCGGCTTCGCCGCTTTCTTGGTCAATTTTTACGACTTTTCCGCGATACCAACCGGAATCGGATGAATGTATGGCGTAAACTCCTTCAACTTCCGCAACGAAATCCTCCTCAGATTCGGTGAGTTCGTTGTAATGATTAAATATCGCGTCGGTAAATTGTTGGATGGTTTCTTGCATTTTTGTAGGTTGTAGAAAGATTGATTCTGATGTTGCATAACAAACCATTCCGTTTATTTTATTTGTGTAAACCGGAAGTGGGCATAAAATGTCTACAGATTCGAAAGCTCCTTCGTCTGGTTCGATTATTTTTAATTTTTGACCTGTTGTATCGTAAAATGTTACTTCTAATCTAAAAATATTTTAATGGAAAGAAAATTAATAATATATTAGATCAAATAATAAATTAGTTAAATACAGTAAAACTTCGATATAACGGACTAATATGGAAAAGGGAGTATCTGTTATAGCCAAAAGTCCATCTTAAAGTCCTAAGCTAAATGTGAATGTTTCTAGTTGTAAGTTCTAGGTGTAGTGTTAGTTCTAGTTATAACAGTTATTCAACGCTAGATTGTTGTATATTTGTCTTGAACTGTAACTAGAACTAACACAAGACCTAGAACTAGAATCATTCGGATTTAGCCGCCTTGAGAGACGTACGGCTAAATCCGAATGTTACTAGGTCTAGTGTTAGATCTAGTTTTACACTAGCACTATCACTAGAACCAACACAAGACCTAGAACTAGAATCATTTGGGTTTAGCCGTTTTGAGAGACGTGCGGCTAAGTCTAAATGATTCTAGTTCTAGGTCTAGTGTTAGTTCTAGTTTTACACTAGCACTATCACTAGAACTAACACAAGACCTAGAACTAGAATCATTCGGGTTTAGCCGTCTTGAGAGACGTGCGGCTAAATCCGAATGTTTCTAGTTCTAGGTCTAGTGTTAGTTCTAGTTTTACACTAGCACTATCACTAGAACTAACACAAGACCTAGAACTAGAAACATTCGGATTTAGCCACACGTCTCTCAAGACGGCTAAACCCGAATGATTCTAGTTCTAGGTCTAGTGTTAGATCTAGTGACAATGGTAGGTAGCGCTAGTTAGCATAAGAAATCACTAAGTTGCATATTTTTATTCTTCAGACGCACGGCTAATCCCGAAACTTTCTAGTTCTAGCTCTAGTGTTAGTTCTAGTTTTACTTGTTATGCACTGCTAGATCAAGAACTAGAATCATTCGGGTTTAGCCGTCTTAAGAGACATGCTGCTAAACCCAAATGACTCTAGTTCTAGATATAGTGTTAGTTCTAGTTTTAATTGTTATTCAGTGCTAGATTAATAGTGCTAAATAACAATTAAAACTGGAACTACCGTCCTTGATTTATACATCGTTTATACATCAGTGTTCCACAAAGTGTGTGACGCGGCACACTGGTGTACCGTGGTTATTAGTTGGTATGTTGCGAAAAAATGTCAAGTTTTGTCAGAAAGTTATGATGTTAATACATCTATACATAACTGAGAGTTATACGAGCAAGGAACGTCGTTGCGCGAAGAGCAGGACTGTCAAAAGTTTGTCAAGTGAATCTAATGATTCCTAAGTCGACAAAGAAAAAACCTAAGCTTGTTAATTGAAAATATGAAGAGAGCTATGTAAGTTATGACAAAGCCATATTGCGGAGACAAATCATGCTCAATTCCAAAAGTCTTCTTTGTGGAGAAACTTTGTGTAATAATTCAATGGTGCCCAGTAAACTGTGGTGGTTCAAAAAACAAACCCTTTTTTCAACGTTTGAAAGACCAGTCTAAGAAACAGGAAACTCTCATAAGTTTGTCTCTCAAAATATCAGACAAAGCGCAAAAAGCAAGCTACGTGATCGCTAATATGCTAATTAAATACAAGAAACCTCAGTCTCTCGCTAAAACTTTAACTTTACCTGTCTGCAAAGAAGTTGTCAAAATTATGATTAACCAAGAAGTCGCTGAGGAAATCGAAAAAATACCTGCATCAGCAGATACGATCTCACGTCGCATTAATGATATTTCTTGCGACTTTGAATTGAACGTTAATTGAAAAATTAAGATTTAGTGGTCATCCTAAATGTGAGGTGCACTGACGAATATGAAATAAAGGAGGACTTTTTACTTTGTCTGCCACTACCCGGTTCTAGCACTGGAGAAGAAATATTCCAAGTAACAAACCAGTGAGTACACAACTGCATAAGCATTTGCAGAGATGGAGCAGCAACTATGACAGGAAAAATTAAGGGATTTGTAACCAGGGCTTCTAAAAAATCCTAATATTAAAAATATATATCGTTTGTTATACAGGGAAGCAAGTCTTACAAGAAGTTGTCAAAATTGTCAAGTACATAAAGTCACGACCTCTGAACTCTCGTCTGTTTAATGCAGTGTCAGGAAATAGGAGCAGATCATAAGTCACTTCTGTTTTATACAGAAGTACGATGGCTTTCTCGCGGAAAAGTGCTTTCTGCAGGCTTTCATAGTGAAACAGTATTTTCCTAAGTGTGACCTGCAACTTATGGACTGAGTACGAAATCTATTTTGAGATAGCATTACCCTTGGACACTTACTGATAAATGAGCAGGAAAAAATCATGGAGCTAAAAACCGATCAGATATTAAAACTAAAATTTTCCGAAACGGAGATAGCTTATTTTTGCCAACATATAAAAAATGAGTATCCACTGCTTTCAAAACGTGCTATTGCAATTGGGCCGCGTTATGCGTCACTTGACTAAGCGACAAATGAATAATGTTTAGAAAAACGGAATTTTCGTTTTCATCTCTCTACAAATATAAGACTTCTCAGAATAGACAGGATCAAACTATGGAAAATTGTTATCACAAGTACAGAGGGCATACAGGTGTTTCTGTAAGACGTGGCATAAATTGAATCAATAAAACTAGAGACAAAATGATGACGATTTGTGTAAAAATTTTTGAAGAAGATATCTAGAGTTTGATTTTGTACTTTTAAACTGGTTTTTATTTTATAATAAAGTAAGAAAATAAGTCTAACCAGTTTCGGCCCTCGGCCATCTTCAGAAACTCTACAAATCAAAGTCGAAAACAGATTATTAGTAACTAATTTACAAAATTAAAGTTTAAAAAGTTGTAAAATGAAATTAAGGACGAAGTGTTACAAGTTTACATGTTAAAATTTAATCATCATGTGGCTTAAAAACGATGATTTTTTTAAATAAATGTGAAATGACCAAAAAAACACGTTAAAAATAAAAAGAAAGTGCTGAAAAGTGACTAACACTAGATTAACTTCAGTTATAAAACTTCTATTATATAATAACTAACTTCAGGTTTAAAATGTCAACCTCAATTTTGACATATTTGTAATCTTCATTATAAATCCTTTACAATGAGTACAAACACCACATATTTATCTTCAATATTAATGAAGTTATGGTCAACTTCCGGTTAAGAATGTCAACGTCAATTTTGACATATTTGTAATCATCGTGAAAAATCCTTTAAAATGTCAATGTCATTTTGACATATTCTTAATTTTTATAGAATGTCTTAAGATTTGTCACAAAAACAAAAATATAATAAAAAAAATCAAAAATTAAGGTTGGTATTAATATTTAAAAATTAAATTGCTATCTTAATTGTTGCTAACTTCGGGTTTAATGTTTTTTTATTTTAACTTTTTTGTTTTTTGAGATAAGTGCGTCATCTTTGGACTCATTTTAAAGGTCTTTTAATGAAGATGACAAATATGTCAAAATTGACGTTTCAAACCGGAAGTGATTGTATCTCCATTAATATCAAAGTTAAATATGTCGAGTTTGTGTACCTCTACAATTTCTTGGTTTAGTAGGTGTACCTTAAACAACTTGGGGAATACCTCGAGTTTATCTATGAACATGGAATACAGCAACTTGAGGAACAACCTGAGTTGGATTCTATCTATGAGCGCTAATATTTATATTTAAATATACAATGATATATGATGAATTAAATAAATTATATGACTTAACAATATTTTGTCCATTATATCAAGGCTTTCTGTATTAAAAATAAACCAAAAATACTCACTTTTCATTAATAACATTATCAACATAAACAAATACAAAATTTCCAATCCATACTTTCAAATCATCCTCAAATTTTTCTGTAGCATCAGATAAATTATGCAACGACGCGTTCACACTTAAATTAGGTTCAATTTCAATTGTAATATTATCTAAAGATGTTACCGCCTTAATTAAAGCCATTAATTGTTGACCAAGCAATAAATTAATGTTGAAATCATTTTGTGGGCGAACTGCTAAAGATGAAGCGATTAAACTTTCTGTGATGTTAACATTTTCGTAGGTTAAATCAACATAGTATCTGAAAAAAATAAAATAATTTCTAATAATAGTAACAACAAACAAAAGAAATTATTACCCATTAGTATCAAAAGTAGATTTAAAATGACAACTAAATAAATCTTTATCGAAACAGCTTGAATAACTATCAGCGTTTAACCAATTTTCTCCAGATGGTGAGATTTCAGTTAGGCTACAACAAATTCCCTGCGCGGGGAGTTCCATATATTTAGTTTCAATGGCATAAATTTTGGTAACTGCTCCCATATTTCCGTAATCGATATAACGAACTTGATATAGATTATTTTCGAAGCTTAAAATTTGAGCTCTATATAAAACTTTATCTTCTGGGAATAAAGCTATAACCGGTTGGCCAATAACTCCGGTGATTGTCGATCTTTTTTTGTATCTAACTTGGATTTCTTCCATCATGCTTCGAAAACTTGCCATAAACTTTTCCAATTGAATGTAAAAATATTGTGGGTTATAAAACCAACTGATTAAAACATTTTCGGTTTGATCAATAAGATTTTCAATCGGTTTAAAACTATCAGTAGGTTCCGCGAGAATTAAAGATTCTACAACTGGCGGTGATGTGACCCGATCGGTATTCCAATTGTCATTAGAAATATCACCAATCGGTTTCGAAAATTCAGAAGAAATTGGAGAAGACTTTTTAAAACTTCTACCTTTATTTCTATTATCGTTATAAGATTTTGGACTTCGTTTGAAACTACGCTCAGATGTATCAGAAGAACTTAAATCGTTTTGATCTTTTCGATAATCATTCCTTTTATTTCTTTGATTATTATCAAATTTATTGAATTTTTTGGGGTAACCATCTTGATTTCTTGGTGAATATCTTTTTGGGTAGTCATCTTTTCTTGGTGAAGTATCATTTGTAGAATTAAATCTTTTTGGATGATCATCATTCCTAGTTGAGTTATCATTACCAGAATTATATCTTCTTGGATGATCATCATTTCTTGCGGAAGTATCGTTATTTGGATTGAATCTTTTTGGGTGATCAAAGTTTCTGGAAGAATCTTGGTTTCTTGGGGTGAATCTTTTTATATCATCATTATTTCTTTGAAAACCTCCATCTCTATAAAAGGTAATAAGTTTGATCTTTTTAGTTGTTTATATTTAAAAGGATATTATTACCTTGGTTTAAAAGATGGTCTATCAGATGAATAAGGTTGTGAATTATTATCAAATCTACAAAAAAAAATCATTTATTGAAATTTGGTGTAAAAAATTAATTTAAACAAAACCATATTTTTTATTTTTACTACATTGTGAATTAAAATTTGAACAATAACGAAATTTTACGTGTATAATAATTCAAATAATCAAGTATACTTAGAAACTTTCAAGCAATAGAGACTTAGAAGTAGATTTTATGTTTTTCCATGCGTTAGCAACACCATAATTGATACCTTTACATTTAATTCTTAAAAATCCATTAGGTTTAAAATGGATTGTGGTCAAGTTGGAAATATAGGATTGTTTCCATCACATATTAAAACTCTCAAAGCTTTTGGAAGAACTTGCTATAAAAGACACCGCTTTTCTTGATTAAATTTTTCATTTAAACTTCAAATCATGATAGATGGGATTTTGACATATATATCCCTTTTCCAAACTCCTCTCTATGAGAGGGAAATCACTACATAATTCGGTATACTCCAAGCCAAACGCAAATCTGATAATGTTCTGCGTCACAAAAACTTAACTTGTGAGATTAAAGAGTAACTCAGCAAACTTTTTGAGAATATGTATCAACCTAGATTGACTTTATTACTTTCTCTTATTCATTACACAGATTTCAATTCAAAAATTTTTCTGAATCACTATCTGGATCTATTAATTGTATTTGGGTTATGGACCAAAATAAATTTCTTCAATATGGACGAATCTTTGAGAAAGGATAACTTTGGGATACTATAGATTTTCCAATTCCTATCAATCTGGTTAAAATTAACTGGCAATTTAGTAAAAAATAGAAAAAATGTATTGTTTTATGTTGATCTTAAAATAATTTTTGATTCCAATAAGATTAGTCTTTTCAGAATCTTTTTGAGTTAAAGAAAACCGAAGTAAATTCCGTATTTACCTTCGTTCTTTTTTGGCAAAACCCCAATTTTCTCTATTTCCATTGGTTGCCTCATCACTGGTTTCCGCACCTGCTTGGTCTCCATTATCAAACCTTTTCCGTTGAGTTTCAAACCTAAAAATAATTATTGATTATGAGATAAACTCTTAATTCATACATTTCGACCAATTTCAGTCTTAGATTACATAAAATCAAACAGAGATATGTTAAAACTGCACACTCAGCGTGATACTGCTTTATTAAATATGTTCAGCCTAAATCTTCAATAAATCTTGGCCGATTTTAAATTAGTTAATAAGAAAAGTAGCTGAGTACATAAACTGTTTAAAAACAAGTCGAAAGTAGTACTGTAATACATGTTCCAGGGAGAAAACGTTCTAGAAAAACGTGGAAAAATCTTGCTTATTTTCAAACGAATCAAAATGCCATCAATTAACCTGTGGTGAATACGGAGGTGGCTTTGGGGTTGTTTTTCATGGAGAGTTCTACGTCCACTTAGACGCATTGATGTTTAAATAACCAACATTAACGCAAAGATATTTTACAAGAAATAAACAGGACAATGATCTAAAACGCACAGCACAATATGTGAAAAGATGTTAAGATAAAGTTACAGTTTTGGGGTTGGTCTACTAATAATGAAAAGATGTTATGTCATGTTAAAAAGGACTAAGTAATGCGTTAGAATTTATGATTCCTTTACTAAGTACCATATTGTAAGATTCATGAGGCAAGTGAAAATTATCTTCAAATGTTGACATTGTTTTATAAGTAATGTTACACTAGAACTACATAAACCAGTAGATTGAAGCTATTTGTTCACAATAGTCTGCAGTTGGACCTCAGAGCAACAAATTAAACTAACCATGGCTAGAATTTTTGTTAAATAATTTAATATGCTAGTAACAATACTAAAGTAATATTTTTGTTTACTTGAAACTAAGTACCTAAAAGTTTTGTAGAAATTAGCCCAAATGCATTCTGCCTCAAAAACTAAAATGAAATTTTAGAACAAATTGTGCCTGATAATTGTGAGTAAGAAACTAAGAAATAAAGATCTAAAGAAAAATGCTGAAAAGAGTTGGTTTGAGGGAGAACCATATGTAGTAGAGAAGTTAAAAGAGCGCTTTACTACAACTTTTTGCATACTCACAAGTGTTCTATATGGGCCTTCTGAGTCACAGGACATATACCGATTTGTTCCACACATTTTGTAGATTTATCCTGTTAATTCTCATTACCACAGTATGACTCCTTTCTCTGAGGTTTTCTAATGTATTTGATAGTGGGGATACGTAAACAAGATTCTTAATGTACCCCCAAAGAAAGAAATTACAGGGAATTAAGTCATGTGACCCAGACGGTCAAGAGGTAAGACATTCACACCAATACGGCCAATCCAGCGATGCGGAATATCGTCATTCAGGTATCTATGAAATTACATACCCCAATGAATTTATGATTATTTTGATATGTTGTTCATATCTGTAGGTGCAACAGTTTTGAATACATAGCGTTTTAAAGATAAATGAATCTGTAGTAACACAGCATATTCAAAAATTTAATCAAATCATTGAAAAACACATTTTTTTACTGTCGAAATAAAAGCCACAATCTTAACAGTAATCAAATTGTTATAATAAATAATGATTTATAAAGTGAGACGATTCTGGACACAAAAAGTTCAAAACATAAAAAGATAGATCAAGTGATTCAAGAAGAAAACCAGGAAGGAAGAAACAAAAAAAATTATAAAAGCAAATCATTCTCTTGGTCTAAACCTAATTGTAGAAGGAATCGCATCAGCTCCCCTTTGTTGGTTTCTAAAAATATTCAAGATCAGAAATAAATTATAATGTAAAAACTGAAGCTCTAATTTAAACAATTATTGCTAATTATTTTTTGAACTATACTGAATTATATATATAAACTTTGAGAGGGTGATTCAAGAGGACTCAGAACGTTTGCATCACACATTAACTCAATAAAATTTAACTTATATACAGTGCGTTTCAAAAGTAACGGATAAATTCGATAAAATTATTATAAACAATTTATGAAAAAATCGCTGAAATGGGTCTAAAGATTTAAACTTTTTGGCATTTTTTTGGTGTATATTTTAAGTTTTTTCCGACATTTTTAAACGAGTTATGACGTCATCAAAGTTTTTTTAGATGGGTTATATACAGTGATGTGAATTTGTAAATTACCAAAATATTTGCCGTAATTTACTGTAAATTACCAAACATATTTTCATAAATTACCGCAAGGAGCTAGAATGTGTCTGCGCATGCGCGTTCTGTGTTTTGATAATGCTGTAAAGTCCCTATAAGAAACTTAAAAGAGTTGGTTATAACAGAAACTATAACAAGTATTCTAGACGAAAATATTAAACGTAATATTTTAAACGATATATTCTAGGGGAAGCTTGAATATAAGATTTTAAACACCTAAAACCAAAAAAAAACCTTGCATTTCTCATGTTGTTGACTATTTTCAACATTTGAATGATCCACTACAAAGTGAATGCCCAGTTTTAGAAGTAAAAACAATTCTATCACTTTTAAAAGCACGAAGAGATATGACTGTAACACCTTTACACTTAGCTGCAAATTTACTAGATCCAAAAATTATGGATAGTTTTCTGTTATATTATGGAAGTCTCTTTGTTGTACTACATCATTAAGCAAAGTAGCAACAGAAATCTTAAATTGCTCACCAACAACGTGCACAACAGAAAGAAGCTTTTCTGAATTTTGTTTGAATTACATAGAATTCATATTTTGTTTCATTTTTAGAGTTTTTGTTACATAGTTTATTTTAAATGTTCCTTTGCAGTTTGTATACAGCGTGTCCCGTATCTTCCGCATCAGAGCATTATACGGTTGTAGAATACATTATTCTGAAGCGATCTTTCTAATAAATTTTTTTCGAAATGTTTATAATAACCGCACGGGAATTGTTTAACGACGACCAATAACGGACGACTTTGATTCATCGAAAAGGTTTATTTCTCTTTCCATGACGAATCTATTGGTGAGTACACGTGGGAAACGAGTTATCATCGGCGTAGCGAACCGGCCGAGGGTGGCACCGATTACCTGAGTCTGATTTGCGATCTGCTGATTGGACGAAAAACAGTTCCTTTAAACAGTTCCCGTGCGGTTATTATAAACATTTCGAAAAAATTTTATTAGAAAGATCGCTTCAGAATAATGTATCCTACAACCGTATAATGCTCTGATGCGGAAGATACGGGACACGCTGTATATNAGTTTTATAAAACGTCATTTTCTTTACGAAAATTAATTAATTTATGCTTAAATCATACGAATAAAGGAATTTGTTTAGGTTTTTTTAATGTCAAACTTTTAGAAACTCCTAAAAAATTGAATTGACGTTTTTTGAACTTTTAACGTTTCTAATAATTATTATTAGTCTGGTCAAGATGGCTACCCGTGGATAATGATTATTAATATTATTATTCACCGCTATTATTCACTCCGTGAAAAATGACTACCATTTTGTTTTAGAAAACTCATTCATAAGGTATATATTATAAGGTAGTCGTGGACAAAAGGTTTTATTAAATCAAAATCAAGTTAAATTCTATTGTCCTTGAATCAAAATAATAAAAAGGTTACCGTAGTAATTTATCAAAAAATTATTAAATTACGCGAGAATAAATTTTGAGAAAAAATAACCATAATTTACAACAGTAATTTACACAAATTATAAATTACCGTAATTTTACATTACTAGTTATATAACAACGAATAGCGATGAATAGCAACAAATAACAACGAATAACAACAATTAACACAAGAAACTCCATAATAGTACTCAAAATAATCTCATTAACGCACAATAAACTGGTTTAAATCTAATTTTGACACTTGGATATGTCAAATCAAAACAATTGGTTGCCATGGTTACGCACAGCAACTACTATTTTTTATATCAAATGAATGGGAAATAATGAAACTTTAAATTAATTTTTCTCGAAAATTTTCTTATGTAACCGATATTAATATTTATTGTAATAATTCAGAAAAAAAATCCTCTTTCAAATTCCAATATAAAACATGGGGTGTTTTGAAATTGTTTCTATTTAAAAAAAACTTCGATGACGCATAACTCGCTTAAAAATGTCGGAATAAACTTAAAATATACACCAAAAAATTTACATCTTTAAACCCCCGTTTCAGCGATTTTTTCAAAAATTGTTTGTAATGATTTTATCGAATTTAGCCGTTACTTTTGAAACGCACTGTATATTTATTAATAATAATAAATATTATTATTTAATAATAAAGCTCTCATCTCTGGGTATAAACACTTTCCTTTGGATTCCTTCATACTTAAAATAACCATGAATTTAGAAAAGATTAATAAATAATCAATTCTTCCTGGAATTTAACCAATACAAATTGATTTACCAACCAACCTCTATATCAAATTAAATTTGATGACAGATATTAACTTTCCACGCTTATTTTTTCATCATAGTCTTATTATTAGTCAATACATGCATATGAAATTAATTTTTTCATACCTTTTTGGTCCTTTTTGAAATGAATTTTTATTAAAACCACTTGAACTTGCGTTAAATTCACGTCTATCCCTAAAAAAAAAAAGATTATCATACATAAATTATTTATATCTTTACTAAATATTACCTTGGGTTGAACGTTTCTTTACTATCACTAGATTCATGCCCGTCTCGTTGATTTCTGTATAAAAATAAGACAAATATAAGTAGGATAAATAAATAAACATAAATAGGAAAAATGCAAAAACAATGCGAAAGAAATATGAAGATAAATATGAACATGATTTGAAATAAGAAAATAACAATGATGATATAACAAAAGCGTGCCATAACAGGTTAATAGACAAAAAAAATAAATGATTTTTTACAAAAAATGATACCTGTTTTTACGATTATTATCATTATGATTATATCCACCAGGATTTCTTTTATTTACATTTGGAGTTGATTTATGTCTGCAAGACATTTATTTTAAAATCCCCACTAAAGTATACCCCTTAAATTCAAGATTTAAATAATAAACTTACTTTGGTAAAGATTGTTGTTGGCGCCAATTATTTGATTCGTTTCGTTCGTTATGTTCTCTAAAAAGAAAAAAAAAACAATAAAAATTTTAATAAACATCTTATTTTTGTAATATTTACCGTAATGGTCGTTTATCTTTATAATGTTGTGGTGGGCTTCGTTTTCTATGTTCAAACCTGTGATTGTCCTGGATAAGTAAAGGACTAACCTGAGATGTAGCACTAGCCACTTTTTCCAAAAGTAGTGAAGAAACATTATAATGGCCACTATCAAATAATTCAACCAAAGCTCTATTTGCTTGCATTTCGACAACTTTCATGTTAAATTCTTGTTCCGTAATAAGGTCCACCAACAAACCGTCTCTTGTTGCATCTGGTTCGATGTTTTGATAACCATTTAAACAACACTCAATCGCTTGAGGTTTTAGCATAAAAATATGTTCAGAAATTGGTTCGCGTAAATCATTAATAGCAACTACTTCTTCGTTACCATAATCGACGTATTTAACACGAATCTCTTTACCAACGCTTACAACTTGCGCTCGATACCAAACCTCATCTGTGTAAAGGGCATAACAAGGTACACCTTGACGAATGTTTTCTTCATCCAATAATGGTCTATCATTACATGTTTCACTTAAAGTACTCATTAAATTTTGCAGTTCGATTTCTTTACTTTTTAATTGTACATAAAATTTATTGCAACTCATTACAAAACTAACTTTAACGTCTTGGCTGAATCCGCGTGGTAAGGAGATCGGTTCTGGATATGAGTGAAGTGCGCTATTTCGAATTACATCTATCGCTTTCAATCCGTTTTCATCCCAAAGATCACAGAGGGGTAATCCGGATTTTGCTGCGGGAGGTTGTACTCGCATTCGCAATAATTTATTATTAACAAAATCTTTAAACGCGCATTTCATTTCGATCGAAACGTTCGCCGTTTCTAAACCAGACAAAGCGAATCGTGTTGCCATTACTTTTGGAATAACGTATTTTACAGGAATTTGAAATAATTTATTGAACGGTAATACTTCCGTGTTACCAAAATCGACGTAAAATACCTAAAAATAAAGTAAATTTAATTCACTAGTTAACCAAAGCACTGGATCTCGATCATTTTGTGATTTACAATAAAGTCGAATAACAACAAAAATATTCCTTATACTTTAAAAATATATGCACATTAAATTTGGTTTTCTACTTCTATGGCGGATTTAAAGCCGTTTTCATGTAATTTTTTTGAATAACTGTGTACAATACGATTTCTGTTAGTAAAAACAAATGTTTTTTTGTCAATACAGAAGAAATTCTCAGATATCAGAAAGCTCATCACAGCATTTTCTTGTAAACAATGTAAGCGAAGATAAAAATAGCGAATTCAAGGAAACTTAAAATAAGGACTTCAATAGAAAGCAAATGAAGTAGACGCAAATAATTTGCAACATATGGAATACTGTATCCAAGGACCCACCTTATCTACCTGAGAGATGTAGTGATACAAGTGAACTGGAAGAAGAATAAGAAGCTGTAGAAATTCGAGAAACTAAAGGAAAGAAAAGAAAAAGTAATTCTGTCAATTGGAAGAAAAACATTTTATTAAACTCCATGGGATTAGCAACAGCTTTTCAGACCTTGTGGTAATAAAATTGAAGTAGCCGAAATCGAAACCATGGACTTTAAGAATTTTAATTTATTATCTGGAGAATCTGGATTTTACTTTTACAATAATATTATAAAAAAACTATAAATAATCAAAACTTTTCATATCTAAAGTGATTCTTATGAAATATTCAAGAGGAACACCTGGAACAGATTTTAATCAAGAAAATGTTCAAAAAGTTGATTTCAATAGAGCCATTAAAAGACTAACACGCAAAGAGAAAAGTACTGTTAATTCTAAGGAAGTTATTCCCAATGCTGCTGACTTATTGCTGCTGAAACCAATAAGAGAGACATTAAAACCTATTTCAACTAAAAAGTATAATGATTTGCAAAAGTTACTAACAAGGGTACTTAAAAAATTCCATAAATACTTTAAAAATCTTCCACATGGTAACCTCAAGGAAGACGACTGAAAAATGTAATGATTTTTATTTTCATTATTTGTTTGTTACTTGAACTTTAAGATTGATATAGTTTTCGTTTACAACATTTTGGTGTGATCTCTCATTAAATAATATTTTTTAGTGTTTTTTTGCCTCTTGTTACCCTTTATTAATTAGTTATAAATGATATGAATTAGTTTTTGTTCTACAAAATTGCAATTCTACAAATTTGCATTGTTCTACCATGGGTTTTTAACAATAATTAAGTATCAAGTCCCATGTATCTATAAATTAGTAGGAGCTAAACAATGTTCAGTCACAAAATAGAGTTTTCACTAGTGATGGAACGGATAGTGATTTTGCGAAAAGCGTAAACTGTCTAGATACCAAAAGTTTTCTGAAACAAAAGGCACGCTATCAAAAATGTAAATCCGCGGCTGTGTTTCTGGATGTCCGAAAGGCTTTCGACTCAGTCTGGCACAAAGGCCTACTATTCAAACTGGAAAAGTTAAATGTTCCATATTACCTCCTAAACTTGATAAGGCAATTCCTTTCAGATCGCACTTGTTCTGTGAAGCTGAAAAATCATTACTCCCGCAGTTTCACCATCCAACAAGGTCTCCTGCAAGGATCTCCCATCTCTCCTTCTCTATACAACGCCACGATATTTACGACAACAATCCAGACGCCTTTGATGTGAATAAATATACTCTACTCTACGCCGATGACATAACACTGATTTCGCACGACAGGGACGTTGCCTCTTCGGTCCGAAAGCTACATGTGCTTATCGATGAAACAGAGAGCTGGTACCGAAAATGGTACCGAAAATGAAATTCAAATCAACTCCTCAAAATCGCAATTCTTTATCCCTTTCCTCCCAGTCCACACCCCTTCTTCTACAATCACAGTCCAATCAACTCCCCTCTCAGTTTCACTAACCTGCAAATACCTAGGCATAACACTCGACAGAACCCTAAAATTCTCTGCAAGCATCAAAGTGAAGAAGTAAGTGAAAACTCGCGCCAAGTATTTCATATCCCTGTCATTCAGAGGTCGCGGAATTTCCACAAAATGTGCCTTGCACATTTACAAATCTATATGCAGACCAATTATAGAATATGGATCTATACTTCTAAACGACGCGCCTAGAACATCAAGACACCATTTAGAAGTCGCAGAAAGATCGGCGATCCATAACACGAATAAAGAATCCCCAAAATCCTCTTTTCAACCCTAGTAATGATCTCTTTTATAACGTCACTAATAAAATTACCCTAAATTTCCCTACCAATCTTCTCCACCATATGTTCATTATCCCTAGAGTAAACCACCCATCACTCTTTCAAAAACTGTTGATGAACAGAGAAGACTGAAGCTGCCGGTAACTAGAACTTGCATGGGCAGAAACACTCCGGTCGATAGCCCTTTTTTTGGCTGAGTTTTAATTTATAACTTTTCTTGTACTTATATGCTCCTTTTCTTTAATTTAATTGTATTTTTTGCATCCAAGAATAAAATTTGTTTTCTCTCTTGCTGATTATTTAAAAATTTATTTCTCAAAAACTAAAAGCGATTATTCAAAACGGCTTGTTGCATTAAGAAGAGGATACTTTAATTAATAATTAGTGATATTTCCACAAAGATCCTTCAAAAAATTAATTTTATAGCGAATTTTGAATATTATTGATGAAAATTGCAACATCGAAAATTTGATCAAAACATCAAATATTGTTTTCTCAAAAACTAAAAGTTATTTTTCAAAACGGGTTGGTNACATGAGATTCGTTTGTGGCTGGTCCGTCATTGCCGGACTCACTTCGTTCGTCCGGCAAACTGTCGGACACGCCACAATTTTAACGGCTCATCTGTCATTAGCGACTCACTGCGTTCGTCGCTAAGCGACAGACCACGCCATAAAAAGCACTGCTTCTCTTCCATATAAAACAATATACTATTAATCAAGAAAATGTTGAACAAGTTGATTTCAATAGAGCCACTAAAAGACTAACACGCAAAGAGAAAACTACAGTTAATTCTAAGGAAATTATTCCCAATGCTAACTTATTGTTGCTGAAACCAATAAGAGAAATATTAAATGATTTGCAAAAGTTACTAACATGGCTTGGTAACCTCAAGGTAGACGACTGAAAAATGCAATGATTTTTATTTTAATTATTTGTTGGTTACTTGAACTTTAAGATTGATAGTTTTCGTTTACAACATTTTGGTGTGATCTCTCATTAAATAATATTTCATATTTTTAGTGTTTTTTTGCATACGAAACTGCAACGAGAGAGTTTATACAGTGTCCGCCAAAAAGTCAGCAACACCCGTTTTATTTCCGTTCCATTGCATCAACGATCCTGAAATTTAGCATATATGGGAAGCTTATACCGATCTTTCGATCTAAAGTCACTTCCGGTCCCCTGGAAATAGACCTTAACTCCATATTTCAAATGGAATGCTATACTTTTATTGCACCTTTTAATTGTATGCGAAAAAATATGTTGACTTTGATAAATGTTACTGGTACCTAGTATTTTTCGTTTTCGAATTATCTTGATTTTAAGTTTTTGTTTGATAAATTTCACCGTGCTTTTAAAACCCCATATTTCAGCCAATATTTATTCAAGAAAGCTCTAACTTGGTACGATTACTCTTCAGATGATCTCAAATAGTTTGTCATTTGTTTTATTAGAGTATCTTGTGGACAAAAGTTGAATTATCGTTTCTCCATATTCAATGGCAAGTAAGCTGAAAATGTTAAATGGAACGTATTAGAGAAAGAAGTAACTTTTTTTATCCAAACTTAATTTTTGTTTTCATTGTTTCATTTATTTGTTCTGTTTGTTATTTTTGGTAAATAAAAGATTATCAACCAAAGTTAATTGTAAAAATAAATTAAACGAAAAACTGTCAAAATATCATGGCCTAATAAAAACATAACCGGTTTCCGGCGTTTCCCAGCAAATTCCCTTTCTGGTGAACCAATAAAATATGGGATACACCATTTAAAATTTTCGACATTCTTGCCTTTGAATGCGGAAAAAAGGTAATTCACTTTTTAGCCATCCTGTATAACATACTGTGATACAGCAAATGGCAATCTATTTGACAGCATTTGAGGAGTAATCGTGCCAATTTAGAGTTTTTTTGAATGAACGTTTGCTGAGATATGGGGTTTTAAAGAGCATCGTGAAAACTGCAAAGAAAAATTTAAAATCAAAATAACTCGAAAACGAAAAACATTAGGTATCAATAACTTTTATCAAAGTCAACATATTTTTTCGCATACAATTAAAAGGTGCAATAAAAAGTATAGCATTCCATTTAAAATATGGAGTTAAGATCTGTTTCCAGGGGACCGAAAGTGACATTCCCCTAATGTCAAAATCATGTCAGTTTGTTCATTAAATGTGTAACTCTCCATTTTGAACACTTAAAATTGATAAAAACTTAACTAACAAAAAACTACCGTTTGTGTTTAAACGACATAAGCAAGTTGACAGCTTAATTTGTTTTTTTTTAATTGCCATGGCTAACCTTGACTTTTTCGAAGATTTTTGTTTTTTAGTGTTACCATTGAAATCAAAGCTTAACATTTTCGCGTATAACTCGAAAACGGTCAATGTTATCAAAATTTTCAAAGAGTGATAAAAGTTTCTAAAATAAATTTTCTATTAAAAAGTACAAAAATAAATGTAGGGTTACGAGCGAACAAAAAAGTTCTGAGCAAACAAATTTTAGGGACACTTGTATAGCATGGTTGCCCGATCAAAGTCAAAATTGGTTCAATGATTTTGCTTGATATTTTGTACCAAATTTCACCGCTCTACCATAAATGGTATTGAAAATATTTAGAAAAATGTGTTAAAATTTCTGAACTTTGATGGCCTATATCTTGGCCAATTGAAGACTTTTATAATAATTTTTTTTCACGAATCGTCATCATTTTTGCTCTAGTATCTGAGGTTCATTTTGTGCCCCAAGTCACCGGAACACCCTGTATAAACACCCCGTGAATATTGAAATACGTTGTTCTAGAGCTTACTTGTAATTGATTAAGCTAAATATGTCATTGTTTACAAATGCTGAGTATACCGACATCCTATTTATTTACGGTTTCTGTGACGGAAACGCATCAGCCGCTCATCGAGAATAGCAACGCTATCCAAATCGACGAATTCCTCATATTAGTGTATTTGGCGCCACTTATCGACGTCTAGCTGAGACTGGCAATTTAAGAAAAGCCGAACGTGTAGGACGTGCTGGACTTAATATGGAAGAAGACATTTTGGAAACAATTCAGATACGTCAGTCCAACAATTTACATTATTGGACTGACGAAAATCCTCATCTAACGAAGGAAACGAGTAACCAAAGAAAATTTAGTGTGAATGTGGCTCATTGAAAATAATTTGATTGGTCCTCATTTTTTTCCCGATCATTTAAATGGCGCAACGTATGGTGATTTTTTACATAATAATTTAATAGAAATACTGGACCATGTACCTTTAGAAAACAGGAATAACATGGTTTTCCAACATGATGGATGCCCTGCGCACTATTCATTAAATGAATTATTTCTTAACCGCTGGATTGGGAGAGGAGGTCCAATTCCATGGCCTGCAAGGAGTCCTGATTTGACGCCCCTAGATTTTTATGTGTGGGGCCACATGGAGGAAAGAGTGTATGCAACACAAATCAATACTAGGGATGAATTAATAGAGAGAATCCAAAATGAAGCAAATGCTTTAAGAACTACAATTACAAATAAAATAACATGGTCGGAAATAAGAAAAAGGGCTCGAGCATGTATTAGCAAGAGGTGCAGTTTTTGAAGCAGACTTGTAATTGGACCCCCTCTTGTAATAAGGAACCAACTGATAATTTTTACTAATAGGTATGAGTTAAGTATTTATTTAGAATTAAAAAAGGTCGTTTAATAAGCAACAATAAATAGTAGGTGTAATCGATTTTGACTTTTATTAACTTTGGGTAGGTTGTCAAAATTGTATTCGCGCCACTTGTTATCTTATTATTGGGTAATTAGAAAGACATTTTGCCATGCTTAATACCTTATTCGAAATGCAAGAAAACAGAGAATTTTTTACAATAATTGGTATGCTAAATGTATTATCAAAATTTTGAAATAAACGCTCGTAAATGAACACATTATTTAAAAATTAACTTAAAAATCGAATATTTCACACCCTATATTTTTAAAGCATCGAAATATTTAAATGTTTTTCAACTTAAAATGTGTATTAGAGTGTAATTTATCCAGATAAGTCAATACATTGCTAAAGAAACTACAATTACTCTCTAAATTGCAAGATTTGTAAGAGTATGTACTGAACTTGTACAAAAAACAAAAAATTGAAATAACTCCTAAACTATTCAGCTTTGCATAAGGCATATTTGGCTTAATCAATTACAAATGAGCTATAGAACAACGTATTTCAATATTCACGTTTATGTAGTATTGGGATTGTTACAATGAGGTTGCTAATGACAAATTGGATATAAATAAAGTTGTATTAAATGAAAAAAGTCCTATTGGGGTTAAACTTGATTATTATCTGCAGTGTCCAACATCTAAAAGAGATACTAATTCCTGTGAATGGTGGAGTACTAAGTAATAGATTTTTAATATCTGGCCAAAGCTGGATATTTGGTAACTATCAGGTATCTGTTCCACCACTAGTAATCACACATTTATTTTAAAATTATTTAAAAAAATTAATGTAGGAGGTTTGTTATTATCAGCTTTAGTTATCTTCCAAAATTATAACTGGAAAAATAGTAACCCAAGCTCTCCTACAAAAACATCATTGTTCAAAATCTTCAAATTACTCTCCTGTAAAATTAAAAAAATGTCAATGCTTTTAGCTCTGAGGATATAAAATATATTTGTTAACTGGTCGAGAACCAATGCATTGACCCTAAATATTAAAAAAAAAGAATAAATACAATAAAATCATTACCTTGTATTCTTCATCAACCATATTTGTAACAACAGCTCGACAAATGTATTCATCATCTGTACTTTGCGCCAAACAGACAGTTCCTGGTAAAACATATTCTTCCAAAGGTTGAAGGTCGATTGAATTAATCTCTGCCATTAAGCGTTTTAATAAAGTTTCCAATTTTTGATGTTGTACAGAAAACATACAAGGTCCATCCGAAACATAAGACACATAAACATCATGTTCTGATCCATGTTCCAAAGGCATTGCTTTATAAGACAATAAAGTAGGTGTTGATGTAGACATAGGAGGCGATGGGGATGCCATTTTGATGGGGACCATCACCGGTGGCGGTTGCTGGTGGATGTACTGTGGATGAATCCCACCTGGAGTTTGTAAATGTTGTTGTAAATCGTGTTGCTGGGTTTGAATCGGTACTTTAACAACTAAACCAAGATTAATAAGCTCAAGACATACATCTTGTTTATTCTTTAATAGGCGGATTATAATAAAGGGACCAATTTCGCAAATCGGCATGACTTCTAACTCTAAATAACGTAACTTGCTTCCAATGACCTCAAAAGTGTCTATATCCCAAACTGGCATTGCCACTTCAGCTAAAAGGAAATCTTTAGCTTGGGGCGGGATTGAAAGAAGCGAAGCGGCATCGATAGGAGTACGAATGTTGTTGTAAGGGATAATGTCTTTGTTGCCGTAGTCTAAGAACAAAACTTCGACTAACCCTTGCTCAAGGTGAGAAGTACTCGTTACTTTTGCACGATAATACCGATTGTCTTTAAATTTAGCACAACAAGGCAAACCAACTTGAATATCCGTTGGAACCGGCATTGAAACACCCTGTTCGAACTTTGCAGTCGCCTGTTGAAGCGCCTCTTCTATCGCTATCGGCACGTTTCTAACAGTCTGGCCCCATACTTTTATATAAGGCCCTTCTTTTTCTAAATACGTTACGTAAAGAATACGCTGTTGATCCATTTTATTTAAAATTTTAACGAAAAGCCACGAAAATTTACTGATTTAGCACATTTTTTCCCTCCGAAAATTACTCTTACATGCTTTTATCACTTTTACCCGCAATCACAAACATTACAAAATATGGACAAGTTCATCCAAACAAAACGGCTTTTTCCTTTTAGAAAAGGATACAAACATGAAACTCCCTTTTCACAAAATCTAGATACGATAAACATCAATGTAAAGTTTATAGAAAACTGTAATGTTGAGTTTAAAATGGAATACGATGGTGTCATCTAGATTAAAGTGGTCAACTTAAATTTCGCTGCAACAAAAAAATTCTTAAAAAGGCACACCACGCTTGCGCAAACGAAACCTGCCATCGATTCAATAAATTAATTATTGCATTCCTTCGAAAAATAAATAGTAATGTTTTTGTTAATAAATAACATAGTGGGTCCCGTAGTGAAGATCAAACGCGAATAAAACTTTTCGTACAAACTTGTCTATTTCTGTATATTTACCTTTTTATTTATGTTGCTATTTTACGTTAAAACACAGCACTCAAGACCAACGAGCACATTCTGTACGATAGCAGGTTGCCCGACTGCGTGGAATTTGAGGCGATTATTTACGGGTTTACTTTCGATTTAAACTTTTAAGATCCCCCGATCATTAACCGTTCTTCCGTTACAGTGTAACGGATGTTCCACTTTCCTATAATGTGCACTTAAATTAATTTTTAAATCAATTTTTTGATTTATGCAAAAATAGTATTTAAAAGGAGTTCAAAGTATTATGAGTCATCGCATTATTTATAGTTCTTTCTATGACTTATTCAATTATATCTTTTCAAAATTAATCATTTTTTCAAGTTGTGGGTAAAATTGAAAACTGTTTTTAAAATGTTTTCTAAAAGCCTTAAAAAGAGACACCAATAATTAAGGTAATAAACTGGAATCGCCTACACTCAACTTTCTTGATTAAGTACGGTTTAAAATTGTGGAAAGTTTCACAACAATGTGGCAAGCTTGAAGATTGTGCATGAGAAAAAAACTTTGTCACAATTAGTGACAATGCAACGTTGGGTATCTGAATTAAGACGTGTAAAATATTTTGATGATTATAGACTATAGAGAAAGTGCCTAGAACTACCATTTACAGGTTTAAGCAATATGCTCAAAACTGCTCCGACATGTCCTACCAATGGGCTGCGGAAGACACTATAAGCACTGATATTATGCTATCAATGTCGTCAGATTTGACTAGGATCATTACCAGTGATTAATGCTCGATACCAGATTGTACTGCCTGAATGGTAATCCTGGATCGAAAACGAAAATTCTCTGATTCGGGCAGATATTTGCATGTTCACAGATGGATCAAAAACGCCGAAAGGGGTCGGAGCAGGAGTATACTGCCAGATACTTCGGATTAAGCAAGCTTACAGCCTGGGTACGTACTGTACTATATTTCAGGCGTATTTGCTATTGACACAGGTATTTGCTAGAATCCTTCTTGAGAGAGGGGTGAAGAACATGACAATACAATTTTTCTCAAGATAGTCAAGCCGCTTTCGAAAACTGCATCGACTATGGTTAATTACTATAAAAGAACTTTAAACACACTGAGTTGTAATAAAAGAGTCTCTGATCTGGGTCCCAGCCGTTCCAGGTCACTCTCAGGTTGCTGGTAATCAAGCGACAGATGAGTTATCACGAGAGGGCAGCGCTAAAGCGTTTGGGGGCCAGAGCCAGTAGTTGGTATATCATTTGCGATAGCCAAACATAGGATTGGACTATGGGCTGAAGAGAGACTTCGCCTGTTGTGGACCATTGCTCCTGTAATGCGACACGCTAAGTTAATTACACAAAATAGCTAATGCTCAATCCACTATGTGGCGTGAAACGAAATGTGCTTATAAAAAATGACGTGTGTAATTCCAAATGACACTTTAGTTTAGCTTGATCGAATAAGTAATGTTAAAATAATGGCGATAATGAAGTAATTTCCAAAATCCAACAAGATCATACTTTTTCATATTTGAATTATGAAAATTATGCAGGTGAAGTGAAAACAAAATTAAGATGCGATTCGTGTAAACATTTTGGTTTAAAATTTAAACCCATAAATTGCTAAGATTTTCGAAAGTATTTTCAATATGGATTAACTTAGATAGACCTTTTTGAAAATAGCCAACCTCGGAATCACTGTGTATCTACTTGCGTAAGTTGAACATAATGCTTCCATACATGTTTAAAAATTACATATTAATGCGTATTTGAGCCAATGTCACATTTTTGCAAATAACTAGTTTTTTGCCTAAATCTAGAAAGGTAAAGTATTTTCAATGTGGATAGGCTTAGAAAGTCATTTTTGAAAGTAACCAACCTCGGAATCATTTTGTATCTAGTTTGCATAAGTTGAATATCATGTTTCTATACATGTTTAAAAATGACATATTATAGCGTATTTGAGATAAAGCCAAATTTTAACAAATGGCTCTATATTTTTTTTACCTAAATCTAGAAAGGTGAAGTATTTTCAATGTGGATTGACTTAGAAAGTCATTTTTGAAAATAGCCTACCTTGGAATTACTGTGTATCTAGTTGCATAAGTTGAATATTATGCTTCCTTATTATACATGTTTAAATATGACATATTAATGCGTATTTGAGACAATGCCAAATTTGTGCAAATGATTAGTTTTTTGTGTAAATCTAAGGAGGTGAAGTATTTTCAATATGAATTGACTTAGAAAGTCATTTTTGAAAGTAACCAACCTCGGAATCACTTTGTATCTAGTTTGCATAAGTTGAATATCATACTTCCATACAAGCTTAAAAATGACATATTAAAGCGTATTTGAGACAATACAAATTTTTTGCAAATGGCTCTATAATTTTTTACCTAAATCTAGAAAGGTGAAGTATTTTCAATGTGAATTGACTTAGAAAGTCATTTTTGAAAATAGCCTACCTCGGAATTACTGTGTATCTAGTTGCATAAGTTGAATATTATGCTTCCATACATATTTAAAAATGCGTATGGAGCCAATGCCAAATTTTTGCAAATGACTAGTTTTTTGCCTAAATCTAGAAAGGTGAAGTATTTTTAATATGGATGGACTTGGAAAGTCATTTTTGAAAGTAACCAACCTCGGAATCACTCTGTATGTAGTTTGCATAAGTTGAAAATCATGTTTCCATACATGTTTAAAAATGACATATTAAAGCGTATTTGAGACAATGCCGAATTTTCGCAAATAATTTCATAATGTTTTGCCTAAATCTAGAAAGGTGAAATCTGGCGATAGAGCTGACCAAGTCAGTATTTGCAAATACTGATAGTTTGATCAATCATATAGGGATAAAACTGATGGATTGATGGAAAGATTGAAGATTTGCGGACAAACTTTTTCTTGTCCATTGATTTCGGTATATTTGCGTTTCTGAAATAGTAAAGTTTAATTTCTTCATGGTATTGCGATTTCTTCGGAAACAGTAACTGCGGTAATAAGGATTCTATTATCTCCATTTTGGTTTGTAACTTTTTTGCTGCTTCTTTGTCCTCAAAATATGCATTTTGCGCTTTAGTGTCGCAATTTTGGCATATTGAACCTTCCTTTTAGTTTGACCACTATTCCCATATTAATTTGGTAATTGATACAATTACGTCTTAGTTTTTGCCATCGCCGTCGAGAAATCTAAGAATATATCAAAGCAGAGGAGATAGTTGAGAACATGAGCTCACTTTATCTTTATCTCAAATCTTCAACTATTAGTCCCTATCTTTTAGACAGAAACCCATAGTTCTGATCAAGTTATCTCTTCAAGTTGACTTCTATAATCTCTTTTAGGAAGCCATCTTACCAGACGGAGTCTCATAAGATTTTCAACATTTAATAGCACCTTAATAGTCCGCTGTTTTCTCTTCTGGATAAGTTCTAAAGTGCCAATGAGATGCGCATTATATCTTCAGGTTGGATTCGATTATCTTTTACAGGAAGTCATTTTTCCAGACGGAGTATCATAAGATTTTTAAGATTTAATAGCACCTTTTCTGTTGTTTTATCTTCTGGATAAGTTATAGTGTTAATGTGATGAGCAAATTGCTGTACACTTCGTTATACGTTCCATGAACCAAAATTGATACTCCAATCCTTTTTCTTTAACTTATTTTTGTAGTAATTCCAGCAATTATTACCATAATTTGGAATAACCCGGTTAGTCGACTTACGAATCTTTTGTTTCTTTTAACATCCTTTCCATTTCATTATTCCACTTCATGACCTGCAATCTTGCAATTTCAATTTTGCGTTTTGTTGCAGAAGGTAAGATTAATCGGTTCCTGTATAATATTCATTTCTGATGTGCCCAGGTTGAATACTACGATAAGACTGATAAAAATGCTGATGATTTAGAATGAGGAGTTCAAGCCATCACATTCAATGTTAAGTTAATATAGCAATAGGAAATCAACGACAAATAACCCTTTTATCGCGAAAATAAAAATATTGATCGATAAAACAATACATATTGAAAAATAATAATAAAGATATTAAACACAATTGATTCATTGTTTAGATATTTCAAATCTCACCTATATCTGATTGTCCGTAATAATTTAATCAGTGTAATTATTGGAATATATAATAATATCATAACCTTAATTATTGCTATTTTATATATTAAAATCTATGGCAAACTTTGCACCGTTTTTTTTTTTGAATAGAGTTATGAGGTAGCTGGTATAGAAATTGTTTAGATTCCCTAGAGACACCTGTCTCAACTGCTCTTCATATCTTATGTGATTTCTAAGACATAAACAGTAATTATTTATAATCGATTTAAAAAAAATATTATTTTTATTTCCAATGAAGAAATGTTTTGATTTTATTTCGGTTAATATCAAAGAAAACCGAGATATGCAATCGCTAATGGACCATTTTTTTTGTCAAAAGTCAAATTATTACGTCGAACTTGTTTCTGAAGAAGGTTGCAACATGGCATCCGAAACGTTAAACATTTTTCAAAAAAACTCTGGGTCTAGTATTAGTTCTAGTGCAATAATAAATTTAAAAAAAAATTAAAATTGACAATGAAATTACTCAGCTAAACAATAAACGCGCAGTAATGGTCATAAATTGATTAATCTTTTGATATAGATTGATTTTTTCAAATCTATAATTCCTAACTGATAACTCTTAAAAGATATTGCGTAACTTAAAAACATTGAAAACGATAAATAATCGTTATGTATTGATCAAAGAACACCCGGAAGACTTCTTATTGTTAGTTAAAGTAAGATTAATGTTTGTTTTTATAACATTAGATTGCATTTGAAACAGCTCTATTTTTCTAACAGAAAAATTTTATGTGCATTCTTAGTATTAATTTGAAATGGATGTTTATAATTTGCTTCGGTAATACGTTATCTATATAATTGATTACAATGTCGTATGAATGTATCTCCTGATATTTATTGAGAATCATAGTAAAATAGCGCGTCAGTTCACGATTACACTTGCAAGTGTACGTTGTATTTTGTCGCGGCTTTCACTTGCCCGAGACTTTTTTCTGCAAGTAGAAAGTTTTAGATTCAACCACAATAATAGCACAATATCACAATAAGTAGAAAAAATATTGTTGGAAAAGTTTTCAAAGATGTCTATGAAAATTGAATATAATAAAGTAAGTTGATTTAATTTTTTGATTAATTTTATTACGTAGGAAGAAAATAAAAAGATTATAAAACAATGCCTTATTAAATATTTTAAAGTAGTACAACATACTTAAATTTATTATAAAAAAAACATTATCTTTAAATTATATTTTAGACAATTCAAAAGGCAACTAATGTTACATTCCAAGCTCATCACGTTTCAAGATCTAAAAGAGGTCAAGTACTAGGGAATCATGAAGGATTTAGAGGATGCACCATATGGTTTACAGGCATGTAAATTAAACACACAAAATCCTTGATAACGCACAAAATCGATTAATACTTAACTCATTATTTCAATTTCAAAGGTTTATCTGGTGCTGGGAAAACATCAATATCATTCGACCTCGAAGCTTATTTAGTATCTCGAGGTATACCATCGTACAGTCTTGACGGCGACAACGTTAGAAACGGCTTAAATAAAAATTTGGGATTCACAAAAGAAGATCGTCAAGAAAATATTCGAAGAGTAGCTGAAGTTGCTCGTCTATTCGCAGATGCTGGTCAAATATGTTTATGCAGTTTCGTATCTCCTTTTGCAGAAGACAGAGTGATGGCGAGAAAAATTCACGAAGACGCAAATTTGCCATTTTTCGAAGTCTTCGTTGATACGCCAATAAACGTTTGTGAATCACGAGATGTTAAAGGTTTATACAAAAAAGCTAGACAAGGTTTAATAAAACGTTTTACCGGAATTGACCAGGAATACCAAAAACCGGAATGTCCAGATCTTGTTGTTAAAACCGTTGAACAAACTGTTGAGGAAAGCATGTTGCAAGTTGTTGAGATGTTGGAGGAAAATGTTAGAATTTTCAAAACATTTCTTAGGACTCAATAATATTTTTTTGATTTCTTTAGGGAATTATACCAAGTATAAGATCTGCTGATGATGTGATCGAGCTTTTTATGGACGAAATGACTTTAAAAGAAACCATGGAAAAAATTGAGGATATTCCAAAATTAACAATAACCACATTGGATTTACAATGGGTTCAAATTTTAAGTGAAGGATGGGCTTCGCCACTAAAAGGATTTATGAGGGAAGATGAATATCTCCAGGTTAGTAAAATCCCACCTTTTTTGACACAAAAAAATCATTTCTATTTTTTTAGACTTTACATTTTAATTGCCTAAAAACAAACCAAGACGAAATAACCAATCAAAGCATACCTATTGTTCTTCCAATAAACTCTTCCGATAAAGAACGCCTTCAAAACTCCTCCAAAATAGCTCTTTATCATAACGGAGAAGTTTACGCTATTTTATCAGACCCAGAATTTTATTACCACCGAAAAGAAGAAAGAATATCTCGTCAATTTGGAACAACAAACAAAGATCATCCATATATAAAAGTATAATAATCAACTTATTATTAACTTGATATTTTATTATCAATATTTTTAGATGATTTATGAATCTGGAGATTGGTTACTCGGAGGAGATTTACAAGTTTTAAAAAGAATCCGCTGGAATGATGGATTGGATCAATACAGACTCACACCAAAAGAATTAAGAACCAAATTCCATAAAATGGGGGCAGACGCAGTTTTTGCTTTCCAACTTAGAAATCCAATCCACAATGGACACGCTTTATTAATGACTGACACTCAACAACAACTCAAAGAACGCGGATTTAAAAAACCTGTCCTTCTACTTCATCCTTTGGGTGGATGGACAAAAGATGATGATGTCCCACTTGATACGAGAATGCTTCAACATCAAGCTGTTTTAGATGAAGGACTTTTGGATGAAACCAATACTGTTTTAGCTATTTTTCCAAGTCCGATGATGTACGCTGGACCAACCGAAGTACAATGGCATGCCAAATCGAGAATGTGTGCCGGTGCGAATTTTTATATTGTAGGCCGTGATCCGGCGGGAGTTCCTCACCCAGCTGGAAAAGAAGGATCTATTGACGGAAATTTATATGATGCAACTCACGGTGGAAGAGTTTTGAAAATGGCACCGGGGTTGAAATACTTAGAAATAATTCCGTTTAGGGTAGCTGCTTATGATAAGAAGGGTAAAAAGATGGATTTCTTTGATGCCTCAAGAGCAGGTGATTTTGAATTTATTTCTGGCACTAAAATGAGAACTTTAGCGAGAACTGGAGAAAACCCACCTGATGGTTTTATGGCACCGAAAGCATGGAACGTTTTGGCTAATTATTATCAATCATTGAAGAAATAATAAAACCAAGGAATATATTGTAATTAGGAAAATATTAATTATGTTAATAAAAGAAATATATTATAAAAATATTAATAAATTTTAAAAATAATTTGTGTCTAAATTCATGTTTATCCTAACTTATTGAAGAAAGCAAAAAAGAACAAATCACCAGGAGAAGACTATGTAGTTTCTGATGCAATTAAAATGTTGCCTTTACAATAGCATGATTTCCAATAAATGGCATAATATAATAATAATAAATAGCTGGACTGGAGAATTATCGGTTAATAATCCTTCTAAGTCTTCTTTATACATTCTTCACAACAATAATAACCTTTCGAATTATATAACCTCCTAGAATAGGCAGGTTTTCGCCGAAAATTTCGAACTAATGACCATTTGGTGTTCGTCGATTTTGACAACAATTAAGTTGATGGCAAACTTACTTCTCTACAAAAATGCTACAAGGTGATACAACGTCCCCTAAAGTGTTCCCCACAGTTCTAGAGTGCATTTAAACAGCTGAATTGGTCCCAAAAAGGTATAATTAAGTAATTTGTGCTTCGCAGGCAATATAGTCTTTTTTCGGACAGCCTTGGAGAAATGAAACTGATGTGGAACGAATTGTAGGAGGTGTATGGAAGAGTTGGGATAGATATCAAAATGGCGAAATTAAAATTTATGACAAATCTTATTACCAGTTCTACCATCAACATTGGTGATAATGAGGTTGAGAGGGTTGACAGTTATGTATATTTTGGCCGCGAAGATTTAGGGTTAATGAAACCAGCTGTGTTGTTTATGGACACGGCTTTGGCCATTAGTTCAAGTGGTCCACGGGTCGGGCGTTTCCCATGGGACGATAGGCATTTAAAGAATGTGGCTCAGAATAACCATTGACGGGAGATGTCGAGCGTTTATCGCGAGGTGTGAAAGATGGTTCTATTAGAATTTGAATAAAGTAGCGTATCGTTGTAATTATTGCTTGGAAAAGAAAAATCTCGCTTAAAATTATTCGAAGCTTTAGGATTACTTGAAGAGAATGTAACTCGACAAGGGAGTTCACGCATATTTTCTGTAACTAGAGTTCTACAATCTCTACCGATATATCCAGTTCTTCCACATCGTCCACAATTTATAACACATCTTTGCGAATTGCAATTTGCGATATGTCCCGATTTTCCGCTCTGATAACAGTTCTTATTTGTTTCAACGACCCCTACATTTATGCGATTTGAACGGTTTCGATTAGTTACCTGGTTTAAATCATCAAATGACGCAATTTCTTCTGCTTTGTTTAAAGTTAAATCTGTTTCTCGCATAAGTAAAGTCCCTGAAGGCTCTTTTCCTTTGGGTTTCTTATATTCCGATTCGCCAAACAACACCAAAACTTCCCCGCTTTAACCTGACCCGTCGCGCAACTTAAAATGTTCTGCTTCAATTTTTAATTTTTCTTCTCCCCCGAGTTTTTTTTCGTTTACCCAAGCTGTCGTCACACTATAATGTGACGTCAAAATTTCAGCACTTACATTCTTAGGTTCGACATTCACTAGCATGGAAATATCTAACATTAAATAATCCAAATACTAAGGAAAAATGAAATGCGGTTTGCTACATTTTTATTGAATTAAAACTAGAAGTAGCGCTAGATCTAGAACTAGAAACATTCAGGTTTAGCCGTCTTAATGAGACGCACGACTAAACCTAAGTATATTTCTAGTTCTAGATCTAGTGTTAGTTCTAGTATTAATTATTATTCAGAGTTAGATTGTTGATCATTTTTATTGAACTAAAACTAGAACTAACACTAGACCTAGAAAGTAGACTTAGTAGAGTATTGATATTGGCCTAAATATTAAAAAATATTTCACATTTCGTTTTTATACCAAATAATTTTGTGTTTAGTTTATTAGATGCAATTAAACGACGTGTAATTAACTAAGATGATTCCGTTTGCGGCTGAGGCAGATGAATATTGAAGCAAAATTGAGTAGCTTTGAGAGATTTTTAACATTTCGTTTGACAGCCTCTCATAAATAACTATTATTTAAGGAAGTGTTGCGTATTTAAATTGTATTATATGATGCAGAATGCATGATTTCGTGTTATTAAGCCAAGGTCGCTTGCGGCCGAGGCAGTAGAACATAAATTTTGGTTTGATTACCTTTAAAAAATATTTGACATTTCGTTTGACAGTATTTTATATCAAATAATTCTTTTTAAAGTGTTGCGCGTTTAATTTGTGATATAGAATTCAATTAAACGACGTGTAATTAACTAAGCTGAGGCCGTTTGCGGCTGAGGCAGTTGAATATTGAAGCAAAATTGAATGGTTTTTAAAGATTTTTGACATTTCGTTTGACAGCACCTCATAAATATTTATTATTTAATGAAGTACTGCATATTTAAATTGTGTTATATGATGCAAAATGCATGATTTCTTTTCAATTATGCCGAGGTCGCTTGCGGCCGAGGCAGTAGAGTATTGATTTTGGTTTGATAACATTTATAAAATATGTGACATTTCGTTTGACAGTATCTTATACCAAATAATTCTTTTTTAATTACTGCACGTTTAGTTTGTGCTATAGGATGCAATTAAACGACGTGTAATAAATTAAGCCGAGATCGCTTGCAGCCGAGGCAGTACAATATTGGAGCAAAATTAAGTAACTTTGAAAAATTATTGATATTTCGCTTGACAGCACTTGATGAAATGTTTTGTATAACAAAGCGCTGCATATTTAACATGTGTTATATGATGAAGAATGCATGAGTTCGTGTTATTAAGCCGAGGTCGCTTGCGGCCGAGGCAGTAGAACATTGATTTTGGTCTGATTACCTTTAAAAAATATTTGACAGTATTTTATACCAAATACATAATTCTTTTTTAAAGTGCTGCGCGTTTAGTTTGCAATTAAACGACGTGTAACTAGCTAAGCCGAGGCAGATGAATATTGAAGCAAAATTGAGTAGCTTTGAGAGATAGTGACATTTCGTTTGACAGCATCTCATAAATAACTATTATTCAAGCAAGTGATGTAGATCATTGATTTTGACAAATATTTGACAGTATTTTATATCAAACAATGCTTTTTAAAGTGTTGCGCGTTTAATTTGTGTTAAATAATTCAATTAAACGACGTGTAATTAACTAAGCCGAGGCCGCTTGCGGCTGAGGTAGTTGAATATTGAAGCAAAATTGAGTAGTTAAGATTTTTGACATTTCGTTTGACAGCACTTCATAAATATTTATTATTTAACGAAGTGCTGCATATTTAAATTATGTTATATGAATGATTTTTATTTATACGAATGTTTCTAGCTGTACCTAGGTCTAGTGTTAGTTCTAGTTTTAATTGTTATTCAGTGCTAAATTGTTATATATTTCAAGGTGATCCGAATCTTCTTCACTTTCTCCATCACTAAAAACAATCTTCAGGTGCACTGCTAAACCCGAATATTCCTAGTTCTAAGTCCAGTGCTAGTGTTAACTCTAGTTTCAGTTGTTATTCAGCGTTAGATTGTTGTAGGTATATTTTTATTGAACTAAAACTAAAACTAACACTAAAACCAAAAACACTCGCCTTCAAATTTGAGAACATTAACAAAAATTCGCATATAAAACATAATTACCATAAAAATAATGATTAATTTCAACCTATAATAGTATAACATTATAAATAAAAACTAAATACTTTTAAATTCATTCAAGATTTTATCACATTTTATCTTAAAATGTGACTAACTTCACATCAATTCTACCTTGCATCTGTCAAATGTCAAATGACATGGGGTCAATGTTTTTGACAGTCAATTCCCTAAAAAAAGCTGATATGTGAGAAACACACTGAAATACAACAACAAAAAAAATGGCATTTTTATGCCCAGTTCGTATACGCCGGGGGAAAAAGAAAAAACGTAAGTCAAAATCTCAATTTTTCATGTAGGTTAATAACTCAATATCAACAAAATTTATTATGAAACCACAAAAGATAAGAATTAATTAATTTTTAGCTTCCGGCGCCGATGTTGATAAAGATTTAATGAAAGGAGCGTCTGGATTGACTCCAGGAATGGGTAGAATCACCGGTTCTGCTAGTATTGAAACTTTGGTTCGTGTGGGAATTGAGAAAGAACATGGTTTATCACCCGACAGTAAAATGGTTGTTTTATATGATTTTACGCCGTGTGTTGATGATGAATTAGAAGTTAAAAGAGGGCAAATTGTTAATATACTTTATCGAGAAAATGATTGGGTTTATGTAATTGGGTTAGATACACGCCAAGAAGGATTTATTCCACACTCTTATTGTACTCCTTACAATAGCCAATTAGCTGAGTTAGCTATTAAGAAAAAATTACCCAGAGATGAACAAAATGGGAATGTTGATCAACCTGAGACTACTCACGAATGGTTTTGTTATTAATATTTTATAAAAAATAATGTTTAAAAATACTTGTTTGTAGTGAAATAGCAGCTGCTGATACAAGTGATTGTGATTCATTGGGTAAAAAACAAGGAGCTGTTGCCAGTTCTCCTGTTAGTATTCATTCTGAACCAGATATGTCTCCATTTTCAAAAGATCCATCTGGGCGTTATATTGTTTTATATACTTTTATAGCGAGAGATGAAAATGATGTTTCAGTTGAACGGGGCGAATTTGTTACAGGTAATAAAAACAATAAAAAAGTAAATACCTTTTTTGTAATTTTTTTTTCTAAATAGTGTTAAATCGTGAAGACCCTGATTGGTATTGGATAGTACGTAGCGATGGGCAAGAAGGTTTTATCCCTTCTGGTTTTGTTTACCCCGCAGATAATGTCATACAAGGTCATTTAAATAATACAACAAATCAAGTAAACACCACATTTACAATTCAAAATAATACTCATCATATAACAACGCAAGGTGGTGATGATTTGAGATATCACGGTACAGAACTTGTGATGTTGTATGATTATAAAGCCCAAGCACCTGATGATTTATCCGTAAGACGTGGTGATTGGATTTATGCAGATTTAACTAATCAAACTGTGGATGGATGGTTATGGGCGTATGCCCCAAAAACTAGAAAGTATGGGTTCATACCCAAAGCTTATGCAAGACCTCCAGCTATGACTAGTTTGTAATAAAACTAGCTAGTTTTTGTAATGATTCATTTACATAGGTATTTTTTAAGATAATAAAATGGTGCCAACGTTTAATATTATGTACGCAAAAAATGCGTGTTTAAGGCTATAAAAGTAACATAGTGATATATTGTTGAATGGTATTTGAAAACCGTCCGCTTACTTATTTGTAACGTTTTTTTATACATATTTTACTAATGATTATATTTTGTACTTTTTGGTAAAATTTTTCTACTTAAAAAAATGCGTTTTAATGAAATATACTTACGAAAGTGGGGCCCATAATTCACATTCCTTTGAATGATTCGAATCCTAGGATCCATTTCCTTCTTCTACAAAACGAACTGAAATGTCTTAACAACTTGTTCTAACACGGCTTTTAGTAAATCTAACGTAAAAAACGACGTCGGTGAAATTTCGAAAACTTGACAGTATAATACTCAGTAACAACAATGTAGCCAACTTACTGATATATTCAAACACCATACCCATTTCAATATTCCTTTTATTATATAAATTATTAATATTTATTATCAATTTAAAGAATTCGTTATATTTTCTTCAAAAAACTCCTTTTGAATCTATAAAAATTCACAATTTATATTTAATTTAATTAAAAAATTTCTAAATCACCAGAAACTAAAATCCCTAAAAAATGTCAAAATAAAGTACATAACCTCACATAGATATGAGTTTTATTATTAATGCCTTAAAATCAATTTTACATAGAATGCTCCAACTCTTTTCTTTCGGAAAACGAACAATCACTAATTCTCTAAGTATTTATATTAAAACTAGCACCGGCAACACGTTAGCTGTTGATTTAGATCCACAATGGGATATCAAGAACATCAAAGAGTTGGTGGCCCCCAAGTTGGGATTACAACCGGAAGAAGTTAAAATTATCTTCGCAGGGAAAGAATTAGGCGATTCTGTAACGATTGCGGTATATACCACTATTTAATTTCATAAACAATTTATAAGGTAAAATTGTGTTAATTTTAGGAATGTGATTTGGGGCAACAAAGTATTTTACACGCAGTTAGAAATAAAAAAAGACCAAAGTTACCTAGTCAATCTAATAGTTTATTAGAGGAATGTGAAGAAGTTGAGCAAGGTTCTAAACCTCTTTGCGAAATTTTATCTGATATTGATTTTTCAACGGAAAGTGAAACTTCATTTAATAAAAGTCAGGAAAGCGAGCAATCTAACGTGCATTTTTATGTATTTTGTCCAACTTGTAAAAGTTTTAAAAATGGAAAATTACGCGTACGTTGTCACTTTTGTAAATCAGGGGCGTTTACGGTTCATTCGGATCCTCAAAGTTGGACTGACGTATTAGAGAAAAAAAGGATAACTGGTTTATGTGAAAATGCACAAGAATTATGTGAAAATGTAAATAACCAACAAAAAAAAATTTATGATAAATAAGTTATTTTTAGATTTTAAATAATGCTGAGCCTACATTTGCTGAGTTTTATTTCAAATGTTCTGAGCATCCTTCTTTAGGTGAAAATGACCAAGCTGTGCCTTTATATTTGATACGCCCGAATTTAAGGGAAATTCCTTGCTTGGCCTGTGGGGATGTTAGGTAAATAATCTTTTTATTAATTTTTTTAGGAACATGTCTTTTGTATTTTATTCTTAGTAATCCGGTTTTTGTATTTCCTTGTCCGGATGGTCATGTAACTTGTTTAGACTGTTTCCGACAATATTCAACAACCAGATTACGCGAACGACAATTTTGGCAACATCCTGAATATGGTTATACTTTGGGATGCCCTGCGGGTTGTTCTGACTCTTTTATTACAGAAATACATCATTTTAGGCTGTTAAGTGAAGTCCATGTAAGTTAAGATACTTAAAAAATTAAGAGCTATTTTTAAAAATTTATTATTTAGTACGAACAATACCAAAGGTTTGCCACTGAGGAATATGTTTTACAAGCTGGAGGCGTTTTATGTCCACAACCCGGTTGTGGAATGGGAATTTTAGCTGATGAAGGTTGCAATAAAATAGCTTGTGTAAACGGTTGTGGTGTAAGTTTTTGTTGTATGGGATAAAAGAAGGATTTTAAGTTATTTTTTTTTTGTTAAAGTATGTTTTTTGCCGATTATGTTTACAAGGTTATCACATTGGCGAATGTCAATCGTCGGAACCAACTGGGTTAAATGGGGAATGTAGTTATAATGTTGATCCAGCAAGAGCCTCTGGATCTCGTTGGGATGAAGCTTCAAGAGTTACAATTAAAGTTATTACAAAACCTTGTCCAAAATGTCGTACCCCAACAGAGAGAGATGGTAAGTGTATACACTGTGTTAATTAATTATCCTACCCGACGTCATCATTAAAAGTATGCAACCAATATCACAGTATTGGTATTGCAATACGCAAAACGTGCATTGTGCGATTTGTACTGTAATATTGGTTGCATACTTGCAATGATGACGTCGGGTACGACAATTAATTAACACACTGTAGGTATAGGTGCCCAATAAAGCTCGATGTCGATAAGTTGTTTTATTTGTTTTACAATACGTTTTTCGTTCGATTTTAAAATTAATTTATTAAGTGTATGTTGTGAAGAAGCACACCGATCAGATTATGAGCAGGAATTTAGCTTTTTTATTCAAGTCTCACGCGTTGAACAAAAATAACAAGAGGAGCTTAATTAGTTTTCTGGACTAACGGCTTATCATACACTGTGAAGGACGAAGGTTGTTGAAAATCGAAGTCGGCTCGCTAAATAGCAGTCCACAGACTAACTAGTTTCTGTATTGACCTGATCATTAGTTACTATGAACTCATAATAGATAAAAATCGATGAAACAACCAAATTAAGGAACGAACCCGAATTGGGATTGTGGAGAATTGGTTATACGACGTGGTAGCGAGGTTATTCCTTAAATTCTGAAAATAAATTACCTAAAAACTGTAATTCAATGTAATGTTAGTCCCCCACACGTTAATTTTGTTATGGCTGTGTGGAATAAACTAATAGACAGCAAATGATAAATCATCATATCAAAGATTTGTTATCAAGAAAAAATCCTCAAAATGTTGTCTGTTATGTGTAGTGGAACTAATGTCTGGAAACGATTACTTAATTTCGGAATGCTGCTTGATCACAAGATAGACATTATGGGGATGATTAGCTTGGCTGAGGTTGTTTAATAATATCTTCCAATTACCTGTGGACAAGGTTTATTACTTGTGATAGAAGATTACGGCAAAATGGTAGTGAAGATACCTGATGTCAGCGTAAAAAACAGCCGTTTCGTTAACTTTCGACTTGATGGGTTTAATAGGGACAAGGAGAATAATACATTTCATTGATTCTACCTATAAATTCTTATACAAGCTGTCCCGAAACTCAACGTCAAGCGGGCACCGGGTGAGAGGCCAACCCATACCTGTTCTGGTAAAAATGAGAAAAAAATTCCATGTCTCTTAGTTAAGTAGTAATAGACATATTTTTGAAAACGTTAAAAATCGGTCCTGTACATCATATCTTTAGGTACTACGGTAATGTTCGCAATTTAATGGTGATTTTTTTAATAATGTATTCCTTATGAACCATCTACTGTAGAAGTCACAAGTCAATCAACAAAAATCGTTAGTTTTGCAAGAAAATATATTAATTTGATTGAGTTAAGGTTTAAAGAATTTATGTCTATCAAGTTTAACACACGATTTCTAAAAAAAGAAGTAGTACAACACCCTTGGCAAGTAATTTTAAAAGATGACCTGTTTAGTCAAGTTTTCAAAATGGTACAACACTTGCCATTTTTCTTATCATAAAAAATATTATTGCCTGTTTTTCTGCAGAAAACACGTTATTTAAAAAATTCATGCTTGTGTATGTTATTTGTATTTACTTTTTATTTCCTCTTAACTTTGTTAGAAGATGTGCCAGTCAATATCTACGAACTACAAAATGTGGTTTCAACAAGATGTGTCTTGCAAAAAGACTCTTTCAAATAAGGTTAACCCAAAGACAAAATTAAACAAACAAATTTATTTATTATTAGTTTTATAGCATTATTTTCTTAAACCTAAGGCAAATGCTCCAATTATTTGCCGTCGGCACTAATACAAGCTCTGCATCGTCACAGAAAAGATCTTTTTGCATTTATTTCTTCTGCTGCTGTATAAATATTGTGGCGCAGTTCGGCAAGATTTTCAATAGGTTTTTAATACACTGTTTCTTTTATGCAATCCTAATAAGAAAATCAAGGGGATTTAAACCCAAAGAATGAGGATTCCACGTAATCGAACGCCCAATCCATCTTTCTGGATATTCTATATGCAATCCCGTACAGGATAAGCATAATGAGCTGGGCAACCATCTTGTTGAAACCACATTTCTCTGCTGATATTGAGTGGCACATCTTCTAATAAAGTTGTTAAATCATTTTGGAGCCAATACAAATAACATACAAAAGTATAATTTTTTTAAATAACGCGTTTTTGGCAGGAAAACAGGTAATAATATTTTTTAGGAAAAGAAAAATGGGGTTATACCATTTTCGAATCTTGACTACACAGGACATCTTTTAAAATAACTTGCCAAGGGTGTTGTACTACTTCTTTTTTTAGAAATCGTGTGTCAAACTTAATAGACATAAATTCTTTCAACCTTAATTCAATCAAACTGATACTTTTTCTTGCAAAACTAACGACTTTTGTTGTTCGATTTGTGACTGCTATAGTAACATGGTTCATGAGAAATACATTATTAAAAAAAATCACTATTAAATTGCGAACATTTCTCACCGTAGTACCTAAAGATACGATGTACGGGAACGATTTTTAACATTTTCAAAAATATGTCTATTACCACTTAACTAAAAGACATAGCATTTTTTTCTTATTTTTACCAGACGAGGTATGGGTTGGCTTCTCACCCGGTGCCCGCTTGACGTTGAGTTTCGGGACACCTGTATAAAATACTTACTAGAGCACTGCACGAGTACCTACAGCATGGCATGAATATGAGTACGAATACTCGTCAGACGATTATCTCGTGTGTACTTGTACGCATCACGCATTTCTGTACTCGCATCGTTTTGCATCGGTATCGGCGAGATTTTGTTTATGCTGAAGGAATGTATATTGTATGAGACATTTATAGGATGGTGAGAAATGAGACATTAGACAAATTCAAAACAGAAAGTACACATTACATAAAAACAGAATATAACAAAAAGTTTCTTTTCTAGTATGTAGTTTATTCTATACAATAATAACGCCTATACGAAGAAAGTAAAGTTAAAAGTTAAGTAGTGGTGTTAAATACTCGGGTATTTATTTTCAAGGGTAAATTTCCTGGATATATACCCGGGGGTATTTACCCAAGATGGGTATTTAGAAGTATTTATAAAATTTAATTTAAATTGAGTTGATGGCAGTTTTGCAAGCACTTCAAGAATGCAGACTCGATTGTGACTCTCTTGCCTTTACAATGACTTTTTAGTCTCGCCAGATTTGCCCGGCATCTTTGTTCTCTTTGAAATCTTTGTAAAATCTCTTTCTTCTGTTATTACTTCCACTTTCACATTCTTCCCAGACTCTTCCTCCTGTTTCTTCCATTAAAGTCTTTTTTCCAGTTTTCTTTCTTTCTGCCCAGTTTCCTTTTTGTTCGTCTGTTTCTGTTAAGCTCTTCACCAAGTATTCTTCTTTTATCAACCTCCTTCATGATTTCCAAACTTCTGTCCAAGTCTCTTTTTTCTCTGTCCTGTCGCTTGAGTGTAATCAATGATTACACTCATACATTTACACTCTTACATTATAAAAAATAAAGTTATTTTACCCAAGTCATATGGATTAATTTTGCTTAGAAATGTCAATCATCTCGGAAAGGAATGTTGGAGGTGGTTAGTTTTCTTTTGAAATGGCAATCATCTGGGTAAAAAATGTGAGATGAGGTCAGTTTTTGTTTAGAAATGTCAATTATACCATGAAGGAATGTTAGATTAGGTTAGTTTTCTTTTAGAATTTTAATTATCCCGACAACATATCAAAATACATTACAATTGATAAGGTTGGTGGGTAAAGCGATCAATATATTAAATTACTTTTGATCGCTTTACCCACCAACCTTATCGTATTAAATTTTTTTGCGATCAATACCTCCGCCAGCGTTTTCCAATACATTACAAAGTCACAATACACGGAAACATTTACATATGCCAATCTATTTTGTATGTAAATTTTGCAATTTGCGTGTGAGAATTATCTTGAGTGTTTCCACATCTTTTAAATGTACTTCGTAAAACCGGTGCAGTTCCGAACAGATAGCTTCTGTTTGAGTGCAGACATGAACGTGATCTAGAAGAAGTGAAAGCTATTTTACAGTCGGGAGAATGTTTGAAAGTATATCAAACTTAGCATTGACGCGTAGATGGTTTGAAGAAAATACAAATACCATTGTGGGGAAAAACTTTGTGAAATTTGCTGTTGATGTGTAGTTTAATTACGATACACTTATTGTACTGTATGTAAACTTGTTACAAAGTAATGTTGATGAGTAACTGGAGGAGATTTCTTTAGCTATTATAGCTGTGTGCATTATCAACATGAGGGAGCAATAATGTTGGAGCTCAGTAGTTGTCAAGTAAGAGATAGGTTGATTTGATCCAATTTTTTGGACACCAACGTGTCCCACACAGCATTTCGTTACATTTTGTTTATTAGATTGGATACAAAATGAAGTTTACAAAGACAAAATCAATACTCGTGAGGAATCGGTGGCTCGCATTTTAAACAGTGCTGCTTGCACACTATGGCGATGGATAATCTTAGAACTGCTAAATTTGTGATCTTAAACAAAACTGGTTTATGTATTCTGTTTATTGATGTTGTAATCCCTAAATCATTCTACATAAGTTTAGTTAGTTTACGTCCTTATTTTTGTTTATATTTTTAGGTGGTTGTATGCATATGGTTTGTACAAGAGCTGGTTGTGAATTTCATTGGTGTTGGGTTTGCCAAACACCTTGGACGAGAGATTGCATGAGTAACCATTGGTTTGGTTAAATTACCAAAAAGATATTGTTACCTTTAATAAATTGTTGTATATTTGTACAATAAATTCATACCCCTATTGACTTGAAACAAAAAAAGTAGTTATTGTTTAGTTACTATATGTAAATAATTTTGTTCTTTTGAAACTGACATTGTCATTTGTCTTAATTGTTTTTATAAACAATAAACCAAATAATAGATAACACAGTTTCTTTAACAGTTTATAATAAAAGTACATATACCCTAAAATAATAACAATATAAAACAAATAAATAATGGAGTTTCAATTTCCTGTTATCGCAAGTAAGTATTTTTTCGTCTTCTAAATTTTGTCACATTCACGTCATCACCGTTCTTGAATTGAAGGGTTTATTGCAAGAACCGGCAAAAATCATTATTTGGGTAAACTAAGATAATAACACTTTCTTGTATAGCTTAATATTAAACTATTCGACAAAATAATATGAATAATAGTAAAGTTTTGTATATACATTAAAGATTAAGTCCACAGATTTTAAAGTTAACGAATTTTGAATACTTGGCTCATAAACATATTGTTTAAAGTTTATTGTTTTAATTTATATTCTTGTTCCTTTATAAATCTTTTATTGAATGTTTTTGACTGATATGGTGACAAGATACCTGAAGATGATGGTAAAATCGTCGAAACCGGTGCGTATTCATTGTTAAAAAAATTTTTAAGACGTGAAAATACAACTTTTTATAGGCAGATTGATATACAAGAAATTTAATTATTTTAGTTTATTAATTAAATGTATAGTTAATTTATACAAAAATTGATTCTTTAGAATATGAAGAAGCAGAAAATATAAAAATCCCTCGTCCTGCAAATGCTTTTATGTTATATGCGAATCACAACAGAAAAAAATTGGCTCAAATGTACCCTTTAGAATCAAATAAAGAAATAAGTAAACGTTTGGGAACAAGCTGGAAGGAATTGGATAACGTTGAAAAATTAAAATATTACGATTTAGCCAAGAAAGTTGACGCTGAACACAAAAAGAAATATCCAGGTATGTATTTCTTATTAGATTGTAATTGCGCACGCGTGGTATTTAATACCAAAGCTTTATTTGAATAGTGTTCGTAATATAACAATAGCGTTCTCGAAAATCAATATGTCTAATTACACCTCAAATTACGATTGGTATCGACAGATTTACGTAATTGCGGGGGACCGCATAACATCCTTTTTAGACCTGCATCCGACACGTTAAATCGTACTAAAGTTATGCAAAATGGTAAAGTTCGGCGCGAGGATTAAGTTGTTAAATCCCCGTGGATTATATACAAAGTTTAGATTGTTTGAAGAAACCGTTGCAATTACCTTAAAACCTTATATTTATACGTAAAGTTAATTATTAACACTTTTTGAATAAGCGCCATCTAGATGTGGCGAAAAACTTCTTTTTCGAAATTTATGTGTTAATTTGGGATTAATTTTGAAAATTATAGATGGCGTAATTGCAGAAAGTTTTTTTTAACAGATTAAGATCGTGGCGTTTGGGGGCAGATAGAAAAAAGCGTGTGCCCCCCTTGGAGTATCGATTTCCAGGTCCGCTCCTCTTTTTTTGTCCGCAAAAAAAGGCCCGTAATGATTTTTCTGGCGGCAGGCGCACGGACGAATCCCTCAGCAGGCGTGGCTAAATCGCGCTGGTTAGTTCGATTTTAAACGTCGTGAGCGGCGCGCAATTCGAACGGATCGAACACCATAGCATGCAGGATTATCCCCCGGATTCTAGCCGGGTGCCGTTTTATTTACGACCATCGTTCCGACGATTTATCCGGGAATACCGTACGGATCCGCAGCGCTAAAAGTTTTGTTCGTTTGACGGTGCGCACACCTGCGCCTGTGTGTCGACGGCGCGATCGACCGATTGGATCCCCCGAGGGAACGTATTTCTTGTCTCCTCGGGCGATGATCTGAAGCTATATCTGTCAATCTCAAAAAAGAAAATTGCTAGTGTGGAAAATTGTTCTCTTTGTTATATTCCTTTCAAAGAAAACAAAAAGGAAATGATTCTGAATTGCAGTCTTATTTATTTCTTTAATAACAATATACTTTTTTCTTTCCCAAATCCGAAACAACTTAATCAACATACTTATCAAAACATTAAACTTTGTTTAGACAATTTTAATTAAAAAGTTTCCCATTTCACTATACAGGGTGTTTCATAATATATGCGCAGGACTGCAGGATGTGATAGCTTGTCCAAAAATTTGAAAAAAAGTTTCTATCAACTTACCCTCTAAAATGCACCATTTTCGAGATACAGCGCGTTGAAATTTAATTAAAAAAATTCGTTTTTTGCGAATATCTCCGGAAGCGTTTATCGTACACAAAACAGCTTTTGTAAGCATTTCGTATTCATAATAAGCTAAGTTTTTAACAATTTCATACATAATGCATATAAATCAAGTTGTCCAATAAAACACAAAAAAGCACAATTCAATGTGCCTTGGTGGACCTTGAAAAACAGCGAGTCATGGTTAGAAGACTATACAGGGTGAGTCAGAAAGAATGGGAAATCCGAATACCATAGACACTAGACACCAAAATATGACGATTTAACCTCACATCTCTTATACAAATGTCTTTTTGTGCTATTAACATAAAATTTGGTAGTTATATGTTTTCGACCATGAGAAATATGTCTTGTAAACTTCATCAGTGAACAGAATCTTGTCAAGAAAATATTCATTTTCGCGTAATTTGTTTTGAAAAAAGTGGGCATAATGGATTTTCTGCAACTCGAACCACGATCACTTCTTCTTCGTTGCCGCAATTTTTTTTTGTGGAGCAGCAGCCCGAAGTGCTGCTAAACTATTAAAATTTTTTTGAGCAAAACAACAAATCATATCTCTCTTATCACTATTAGAAAACTCATGATGTCGTGGCATTTTCAAATTAGTAATAACTTTATTGTTGCTAAAAATGATTATTGCACACGAAAATTTGATCAATGTTGACAATTAACAAGCAATTGTCGAAACATGAGCGGAAAAATAAGCTTATTATACATTTAACCATTTAAAATAATTCGAAAACCGATAGACTTAGACAATTTAAATAAGAGTACATCTTTTATCTAAAATTGAATGCTCTTTGTGATTTGTAGCTCTTATTGGTCATAGCTCGACAGCTAAAAAACTTATGATTTGATTTATCAAACGAGCAGTGTGTATCTAGCGCCCTCTACTAGCAATAACAAAACAAATTTCAAATTCGTATTTTTCATTCGCCAAATTTTATGTTAATAGTACAAAAAGCTTCAAAATTATCAAGAATTTAACTTTCAACACCCTGTGCCTCGAAAACCACTGACATTTGTATAAGAGATGTTAGGTTAAATCATCATATTTTGGCATATTCGGATTTTCCATTATTTCTGACTCACCCTGCATAATAAAGTCAGGCATTCAAAACTCGAGCAAACATGGGATCTCTATAGGACAGCCCTAACGGAATATAACTTGGCTATCCGCAAAGCCAAAAGAAAAACCTGGCGCAGCTTCTGTGAAGGCATAGACAATACGCCTACAGTTGCTCGTCTGCATAAGATCTTGGCAAAAGATCACAACACTGATCTAGGCTACCTATGCAAACAAGACGGTATGAGGATGCTAAGGAATCGTTGGAGCTCCTATTGAGTACACACTTTCCCTCCTCAAAAGTCTGCCCCCCCCGCAGATGGCGACCCTGAAGTAATGGACATAACCCGTCCATCAGGTTTCATTTTTACACCTAACAGAGTAAGCTTTTGCAACATAATTCGGAACACTCCGAGAATTTTCCTGCGTGTTAGACAGTCAATGGGTGGGTTGAATAAAAAAGTAGTGAATGCTAATGCTTGAGAAAAAAGAATTTACTGCATAGCAAATACTTTCGGATTTAGTTCCGGTAGAATTTACTCACATATGTAGTACGAACTATGCCATTTAAAGTAAATACTACTAGTAGGAAGTAAATAGTTTTAAAGAGTAGTACGCACTTCAAAAGTGCAACAAATAATTGGATGTATAGATGAATTGTGCCATATACGGCTAACCCAGGCCATGAAGCATCAACACTCGTAAACATCTCTTTCGCATTACATGCTGCTTGAACATTAATACTACACACTCCTTTTTGGTTAACGTATTCATCTCCGTGAATTACTGGTTTTAAAATCTCTATATGTTTGCAGTCAATTGCTCCAATAACATTGAGTATATGACTGTTAGCAGCCCATCTTCAGTTTAATTCTTCACGAGTTGCAGGATATTTTATCCAAACATTTCTTTTATTACACATGTGACTGGAAACTTTTTTGACAATTTTGGATACTGTTGAATGGGGAATCCCTAAATCCATGCCAACACCTATTTGAAATCCTGGGTCTCCTTAATAAATGTATAAAATGATAAGTAAAGTGATATGTGTAAAATCAAATTGAAACTCACCAAGACTTCTCAGGTACACTTCCAACTGTTGAACTTTTGATAATCCGCCACTTCTGCTATCGGTTTCCTCTGGTATAAAATGGTTAGCTAGCCACACAACGTTTCCTCTGGTAAATCTAATAGAAGAATTACATTCCTATAACACGAATTATATATACACTGTTGGAAATAATTCACGAGCACACCCTGTATAATCTGAACGCGTATGTCTAGCGCTATGAAATTTGGTATGGAAGTAGTACTAAAGCAACCGTTGGAATAGAGTAATGCATGTACTTCCCTGCGTAGTAAAAACTTCGATTTTCCACGCAACAAACTACCGTTAAAGTAACTTCCGGGAAATATCGAAGTATTTACTGCAGTTAGTAGAACCTGCTTCACAATCATAGAATTTACTTGGAGAATTTACTTCAGTATTGTAGCATTAGCATTTAAAAAGTTGATTTTTCTAGATAACGGTCAACTTTAGAGCTCATGACCTACAGTACCTTTTTGTGTAGAAAACATTGACGGTTCAAATGGGCGTCTGAAAACCGTACTTTTTCCAGTGTCGTGGAAGTTGGGGAGAAAAACCACCACTACCCCTTCAAAATCTTCACCAATTATGACTTTAAAAAAATTTTTTCTCGCACAAAACTTAGCTTATTATAAGTAGAAAATGTTTACAAACGCTGTTTTCTGTACGATAAACGGTTACGGAGATATTCGCAAAAAAACGATTTTTTTTATTAAATTTCAA